ATTTCGATTTGGTCCGCGGTCTGATTTTAGGATTGCCACACACCTTGGGGAAATTACTAAAACGGGGGCTTCTGGGGTTTTCTTAAATAATTCAAATTTTGGCGGAAATCTAACGAACTCCGACGACAACTCTTCACAGTATCTACTGCGTATAAAAGTTTTCTCTTTTATTGCATCTGGAATGGCGTCATTTGGGAACCTAAAGCCATTTAAGAGTTAATCCCTTACTGCTTTTCACATAAAAATTTTCGCTGTCGCACATTGATACATAAAACCATTGACAGATAGGAGTTTCAAAATCTGTCTAGAATGAACAATTAAGTAAACGATCATTAGAAGACAATAGATGAACCTGCATCACAGTTTAGTCGCGTTCTCCATGTAATCTTATTTTTTTAACATTTGTAGTATCTTATGTTATATTTGCTCATCGTCATGGTTAGAAGACTGTGTCATAAGTAATTTTGTATAATGAATTAAAATAAAAATCTGTAAATTTTTTACGAGTAATTTGTTTCTTATTATTGTTCACAATTGGGAGGATGGTTTATTTCTTATGTTCCAGTCCAAATTCCGTTAATAATATTATACAAATAAAATGTGATTAATATAAAAGCAATATCAGTGCTTTTCCGGTTATACAAGTTGACAAAGAAGTGCCTAATATGATGAGATTCATGAAACCTAGGTATCAAATATTTTGTTTGACGAAATGCACCAAACAAGAGCCTTTAGGAACGTATGAAATGTATATTAGCTATGAAACTTTAGGTAACGTGTGTGGAATGAATAGTTTACAGTGAGGTCCATGTATACTTGAGGGTCCAGCTGGAGAATAATGGTATAGAGTAGATAGTATTTACTAAACATACTTTATGAACACACATATTCAGTAATAAACTTTAACTGTGTCAGGTTTACATTTTCTTTGGATTGCCATCTGCGATTATATGTTTTATCCCTTGCATCGTGCACAAAAGCCTGGTTTGCATCATTCATCGCTTGTTGTCTTTTTTTTAGGACAGATTGAACTTTCGAACCGTAAGCACAGGACATCTAACCAAAGGTGCTCACTGTAATGTTGACTTACTGCGAGTTGTTTTGTAGAATGTAATGATTTATATCCATTTTACTTTCAGTTCCATGTAGGGTATAAATAATACCAAATTCTGATGTCAATATGTAAGCTAAAATCGCCTTCGTGAACATTTTTAAGATCATTACCAAAGATCTCTGATAATTTTGTCACCTTAAATTTTCTAAACAACTTACAAACTGATAATGGGGTTCTTGTTTCTGCAATACAGCTTCTAAAATGCTAGTTTCTCCGTGTGTTTTCAACAGAAATCCCAAAGATCATACTGCAAGTATTCCTGTCCATTACAACGGTGGATGATAATGTGCACATTCATCTTATTGATATAATTAGACAGTTCTGATCGCTTTCACAATTAGTAGACAAGCGATATTGCAAATGTGGGACTTTTCGGAATAGAATTAAGTAATAATAAAGCTTACTCGTTAATAACATCATGTGAAGTAAAAGCAAGTGGTGTGATGAAGACTTTTGTTTTGAAAGAACTTAATGTATACTTAGCGATTGGTGAGAAATTACCATTCAAGATATTGACGACCGAAAACTAAATTGGGATCCATCCATCCTCCTGTAGTTCTTCAAAGATGGATATCTAATCATTCATTTTTCATTTAACAGCCCCAACAATTGTTCTATTGCATAAAATCATCACTTTACCTCTTAGAGTCTTCAGTTTGACAAGGCAGCTTGTCATCTGGGTTTGCATTAAAGGCGTAGTAACCGAGGGCTTCAGTAAATATTACCTTCGATCCCTTAGCTACCTGGAAGTCATCTAAAAAGAGGATGCTTCATGTATTCACAGCTTACCGCAATACAAACATGTATGTTTGTATCGTTACCGTACAAAATTCGGAACAAAGTTGACCTCGACGAGAACTGATTTATTACCATTTGTGTGGATCTGCATTGAAATTATTTCCCTATAGACTGTCTGTCATTTAGCAAATAGATGGGATACAACGCTAGTAATTTGCATAGTGAGTACACTGTATACTGAAGAGCGCTATAAGTAAGCACAATATATCTACTAACTGTTTGTAAAGAGGAATTCAAACAGAGATCGGACAACCTGTACAATTATGTCGATTTGAATGTTACAGAAATGCAGGTTGGGTGGATTCAAGTTGATTTAATCTTCTACAAACACCTTTGTAGCTAGTCGCAGAAACAATTTCTTAGATAAATGTACGTAAATAAGTTCGGTCAAGCACTAGCTGTTATTGTTCATTTCTGCACCAGCGCCCGTTTGCAGTTTAACCGCTGAACTGTTGGAACTGAAAATGTTAGATATATATCTTCAGCAAACAGACTCAAGGGATAAATTTGTAATACCTCTAGTTTGTTTAACAATCTCTCTGTATTTCAGAAAGCGAAGGATACCAGACAAATGGTTGATAACCATAAGACATCTCTTAGATATGTCCTGACTTGTATCATGCAACCAAACCTAGGTACCAAATTTCCGTCCCGACCGTGGCTCCTACCGTGACATGGTGGTCGAACTTGTATACCTTCGTAACCCAATTGAGGTATATTGGCTGGAACTCTCGCCCCTTCAGATTCTTTCATGCCAAGCAGGTTGGTTGGAAAGTAGTAGTACGTAAAGCAGCAAACTCATGGGCTGAGGGCAAAGTTGTACTGCTCACTGCACAGAGGTGTGACGGCAGTAAGGTATTTTTCTCAGAAATACAGCATCCGCAGCAATGTTGTCTTCCCATAACAGATGGATCTAGAAAAGATAAGCCCTAAAAATGTCACACTCACTTTTCTACAGATTACCGTCTCCAGCGATTAAGGCCTTAAAACTACGGAGCCATCTAATCTGAAACGACTCAAATAAATGTGCAACCGGCCATAATCAGTTGTCCTTTGGCACTACGCTCGTGCCCTTAGTTTGTCAAAACTGCTACTAGCCTGGCCTTTTCGGGTACCTCATGAAGTATCTTAGTACGATGTGGGTAATCGCCAATCCTCCTACCTTTAACGGCATGTAAAATTACATGTTCGTAATTAAACTACGAAACTAGATTTATATCACTGAGGACTACTTAAAAAGAGTTTTCAACTGTCGATTTTATTAAAGCATAGAGAGTAAAACCGCCTTTTGTGAGTCTCGATCACTAGGCCTACTGACATTTGAATTCTTGTCCGATTGTGTAAATAAGACCATACAAAAAGTTACATCTCAACGCAAGGTTTCTTTCATGATATGAGGGACGAACCGAAAATAAGTTATTTTGGAAGGAAAGGTTATGTAATTAGCAACATATATCCGTCGTGTCCTCCAGCTGCATGGATCTATTTTGTAGGAAAACTGACTATTATCCAAGGGTATTCAGAAAGGCACTGGTCGGCTGCATTCTCACTTAACCGACGCCAAATCCCCTTGTGGAGTTCCGCCCTTATTCGGTTGCTTTGAAGCTAGACACATTAAATGTAGTTGAAGCATTATACAGTTTACGTTTCTGTCAGTAATCAAATTAATACTAATCGTCCGATTCAATTTTTTTTACTTATAGGCCCAATATAATATAAATTAATATGATCATTGTAATTATGGGACCATGTGGTTGCGGAAAATCAACAGTAGGAAATTCGTTGGCGATTCGAACTAACTGGCCATTTATAGAAGGTGATGACTATCATTCTGATAGTAATCGATTTAAAACGTCTATGGGGATTCCGCTGAATGATGAAGATCGTTTGCCATGGCTTCGGTCCCTAAGAAATGAGTTAATGCAACACAAGAATGCCATATTAGCATGCAGTGCTTTGAAAAAGTCGTACCGAAATATTTTATCCAGTAGCAACGATGCAAATTATCAAACAAGAACACTTTTTGTGTTGCTGAGTGCAAATAAAAGTCTGCTACAGAAACGGGTCAGTGAGCGCAAGGGACATTTTGCACACCCTTCACTTATAGAAAGTCAGTTAGAAACATTGGAATCATTTGGAGAAGATGAAGAATATCTTGTTATTGATGCTAGTAACTCTCTTACGGATATTACTCAACAGATTATCAATAGTTTGTCCACAGGAGAACATTTCTTCAAACAATAAGCTTATTCCATGTATACAAATAAATCTGGAGACGACCCAATGAAAGCGTCACAATTCTGGGAATTTTCACATTCAGGACAGCTCAGATTTCGAAATTTCCAATGAGAAGCATACGCTCACTTATAAATAGTACTTTAGAGTAAGTAAAAGCTACATAGTAGCATTTGCTAACAAATTCTTCAGTCCAATAACTGTCATTTACATAAAAGTATTTCTAAATGAAACCGATAATTTATATGACATGATGCTTGTCAAAAATAAAATGAAGTGTTGATTTGATTTGTTTACATTAAATTGGAAACTTTTTACTCCGAATATTTAGGCAAACACCAGTTTATGAAAATTCAGTTCAGAAAACTCACAAAAAGCCTTAGGAAAAGCTATCTCATTTCGACGTAGTTTTTTTGATGCCGTGTTATGAAAAGTTCCTACATGTTGACTAGATTAGGTGCTAACTAAGCTAACAGTTTCTTTTCACATCTGGTAACCCTGGAAATCATATAGCAAACATACAGTATGAGTAATCAGCTCTGTAGACTAAGCAGTTTGTATGCTGAAACAAATTTTACAATAGATAACATCTAGACGGTATGGAGTCAAGAGGAATACTCAGTTCACGATAACTATTTTTTAATCAGTCATTTTGTTCTTGCTGTGATCCGATAATGTCATTGGAGTGTTTTTGTACTAGTACAATTTAATCTCTTAATTACTACTCATATGAAAGCATACAGTATACAAATTCGTTTGTTTTTAAGCGAGTGAAGTAAACATTGTTCTCGAGTCGATATTGATACATACTTTGTATGCACAAACCCGACTACTCGAAAGAAAAGATGGAGAGCGAGGAAGAAAGTTTATTTAACTAAACTGAATGGATTGTATGTGAACCCATTTATTGATTTGTTCTTTTGGAAATCAAAGCTATCAGTGGTTTATATTTTATTCCTTGAAAAATAAAGCCATTTGTTGGTCAACCACATGCACTTATCATTTGGCGATTTCTGATTGGTACACTATCAAAAACTTCATAAATAGGAATTACATTTGAAGAATTTTCTGCTTGTTATATGTATATCAACATTTCTTATATTAGCATACCTTTAGTGTAGTGTATCACGGTGAAGACAAACTAAAATATGAAAATATATACAGCCTTCACATTTCTACAAGTCACTGTTCAACATCTTTTTCAGCATCTGAATCGCTTGACAAATCGCTATTTAGTCGATCAGCAAGGTGGTCAAGTTTACGAATTGATTCATTGAGATCTAAAATGTGAGGAAGTTAAGCGACTTAAAATAAACCTACCAATATGGCTTGCAAATGTAGGTACTATTGGACTCGTCATTTTTTGAATAACATTTGGTGACTTCGCTGTATTGTTACCATAGCAGTGATAAGGTTCTGGATAAAACGAATGAAGTGCATTCTCTAGAGTTTGAATTTTGGATTTGTAGGTATTCTCAATACTATTGATCTGTGTTGAACCAATGAAGAAAAAACTGAAGATGAAATTGTGATAAAAAGTGGGAGAATTGTCTACAATCGATTTGCCTTTTGATGTATCTCATTAGTCTAAGACATCCATCTAATTTTATACACAAGTTATATCCCTATGACAATTGTGTCTTGGAAGCACTAGATCTATGTCCAATGTACAGTTACAACATTAGACAAATGTTACTACATGGAACTAAATACACAGGAAGAAAGTAACTAGAACCTGGAACGAAAGTTTTTCGGCTTGGACATAAAACTTGTGTAAAGTAAAGAAAAATAGAAAGACGAAAGCAATAAAAAACAGGAAATAAACTAGTAGCACCTGAAAGTCGGAGGAAAGTAGTGATACATCTGTGCCACTAGCAGCTTCTGAGTTATGTCACCTGACAACTTAAACTTGGACTTGAAACGTTTTACTGACCCATCTGAAAAGTTAGAGCACTTGGATCCGACCAACGATAACATCATTAATTGACGTCATATTTTGTTGTGAAAAGCCTCTTCCCCTCCGAAACTAATTTTATGTTAGCAAAAATAGTGAATTGAAGTAGGTGGTGTTTGGATATGAGTATATAAAGCACATAAAATAACTAGTTCGATAAACTGAAAAATGCTGTCGTAGCTTGTATTGATGTCAGATATGAGTCATTTGCAGGCAATGTTCTTAATTATATGACCACACAAACGTAAACTGTAATTCTATTATATGAAGTAATAACAGAAGTATAGTGTCGAAAAATGCTTAATATAAGCAACTATTATATTCAGATAAGGCTCGTAATAACCTAGAATCGTATTAAGAAGGAAGATAAAAGAATATTATTTACAATAAAATGGGTAGTGTCACTGAAAATTAATATTCTTAATAACGGGAATGAGTCCTAATCTGAAATGGATTTCTTGTAAGTACTGTAATGAAACTACGTTGGATCTAATCATGTACAGACACATCTGTCTTTAAAGGTTAACAATTGAGAACGCTCAGATTTTATAGTTTAAAGTTAAGTAAATCTACTACTTCGAAGGATATCTTAATTAGTAAACCTGTCTGTTTTCTACATTTTATAAAAACATGAAAATAATTTGGTTGTAAGCCGTACAGATCTATTTGACTTTATAAGGAAAGAAAACAAAATTTTAAAGTCACCTGTAACTTTCTTTCATTAATTTCTCGATCTACACGGCGTTCAGCCCGACGTAGTTCCGTTAAAGCTTTGGTAAGCTTCATATCCGTTTCAGAGAGTTGAGTTTTTAAATGTCCAATTTCATCTGTATACTTTTGTTCGAGATCATTATTAGTTAGTTTTTCACTTTTTAATTGATCTGAACATTCTTTTAATTTCTAATATAAGAAGTAAATTGTAAAGTAACATATTATTTAAAGTTGGAAGTAATATTTAAAAATTTGCAAGGGCTTTTACTTCAATGTATTTATATTGCCATTGGAATAAATTTAGTAGATATGGTAAAAAAAAAGATAAGTTAGTTAACCGTAAGAATAAAAAAAACTATTGCTCAAGTACTTAAAAACTGGGAACTTGTCTAGATGATTTGATAACTTTGTACTACTTACTTATAACTGAACTGATATATTTCTCAGCGATGAGAAATCATATTTTTAAAATTTTTGATGATATAGTGGAATGAATTTTCATAGAACAAGACTGTAAATAGTGTAAGCCGATAAAAGTCAAAGAAAAAGCCTTATTTTATTTATACTGAGAAAACATCAACTCCCAAATTGACGAGCACTGAAGCAATGACTAATGCACACAGTGAATTAATATTACTTCGTTCCATTGAAGTATAGTTTGTACAACATTGATGAGAAACGTTCACACATAAAAATACAGTAATGGACTGTTGGATACGTAGTACCAAACAGGTTTCATGATTTAACCAGATTTTAATGATGAATCACTGAGAGGGAGGTAGAGAGTTTAAACAAAAGAAATAAGTAATTATAACTTTGATCAGTCTTATCTGACTAGTGAAAAAAGGTGTCACTAACAAGTATTCAGCTGGTCATTATCGTCATTTTACAAATTAATAAAAATAACACAGTAACCAGAAATATTTCGCCCACCTAGTAAGAAACATTTGCATATATAGAACTAATAGGATTGGTGGTGTAGTTATAACTAGACTATTCACTTTACGTCTTAGATGAAACATTTATCGTAATAGCATACGGATAATTAATATTTAACAGAATAATGTTAATTTGGGAACCGCTTAACTGAAAACAAAATATCGAAGCTATTATTGAAAAACAGTTTTCTACACTCAGGAATCTTGAGAAATGGCAAATAAAAAACATCGCTATTAACGTTTACAGACATTTATTATTATATTCAGGTGTTTACCGTTGAATATACACGTATTAGAAATAAATAGAATATATAGCACTGTTACGATGTAAAGAAGTGAATGATTATTGGTTAATTTGCGACGTTGATACTTATTCTTGATCAACCATTTCTTTTAATTAACCATCTATTGAGCAACTCAGTCGTAGACATACTGTTTGGGTTGAATATTTTATACAAGAAACTTAAAAGTTATGCATAAGCTGTATAAAAAAATTTAATATTAAGAGACTAAGTATTGTAACATATATTGTAAACTTCTGAACAATTTTTAGAATATAATTATATCCATATGTAAAACGACTGACAGACTATTTAGAATTAATTCATGTATAGGGATCTTATATACATTGTCTAGACAATACATACAAGCGAAATTATTTTTCACTATAAAAACATAGAACTTTAACTTTTAATAACCAATATTCGGCGTACATTTCTCTCCAAGACTCATTCCTATACTAATTAGTCTCTGAGTTTAAATAAATCACTTTGATGTTAAACGATAAGAAGCAATTTGTAGAAAGCTTTTAACGTACGTTTTATGCTGCTTGGTACTCTAAATAAAGTTGATTTGTAATCTTGAAGGGAATGATGCTGCTTTAGAAAAACTAACAAATCACTTAGAACTGTAACTAGAAAGGTTACCACTGAACTATTCCGATCACTATTGATCTCCTACCTTCAGGACTGAGATGTTTACACTAATTAGTGAGTAGTAACCATTATTTAGTTTTAATCAATAAAACTAACTAACCTTTTGTTCATCATGTAAAGATAAATTCAAAATTCTGTTTGCTTCCCGAAGTTCTGATAATTCTTTTTCAACTAAGAACAGGTGGGGTAAAATTAACAGTAGGATTAGTCCGCTTTATAAATATAATTATTTTTTAATGTACAATTACAAGGCATCTAATGTGAGATGTGGGATAGAGTTACTTATTTGAACGCACAAGCATTGGTACAAGTAGGCACCAAATAGATATGCGCCACATAAATCATTCAATTTATGTGAGGGCTGGGATACTGCCCTGGTGCCAAAACCGAAGCAGGTGGTCTTCTTAGGGGGGCAACACCCTGAGCCTTTGACCTTAAGGTTTGATCCACAAGGTCGTGGAGCAACGTCAGGAGATGTAGCCGCTGACCAACGACTGGTTCATACGCCATTTGTTCCTTCAGGGTCCTGGAGCCCCTGTACACCATTGGTTTGGAATCAGGGTTTTCCAACAACCCTAGGTGGACTCTTCGTGTTTACCGACCCGGTTAAAGCACCGAACATTCGCTTTTCGTCCTCTCAATTTCGTAAACAACATCCCTACCGCGAGAAGGCAGTGAGTAAGACTTCCCTGGTAGTGGTTGTATACACGTGGCCATGTGAGAGCATTTCGAGAGGGAGAGCTGATTCTCCCCACTCTCAGTTGTACCAGTGTATTTGGGGACCTTTTCCTCAAGATAAAGGAAAATATTCTGTTAAATATATGAATACACATGTAATGATGACTCTTGTACTTCCAGAATGACTTAAGAATTAGATATGAATAGATCAAACTTAGGATAGTATCATGCAATCAAAATCTAAGACAAACCTGCTTTCTCAGCATCTTGAACACGATTATCAAATGATTTAACATAATCGGATAACTGTTCTAATGCTCGGTCACGCTCTTTTATAGCCCTAAGGGCCTCGGTTTGAGCCTGAGAAATGATCCTATGAAAAAAGTGGAAATTGCACACACTGTGATTATTATATAATACTTTTATGACTATGAAAATAAATCTAGCATATCAATTTTTGTTGCATAGAAAACAAAATATATCGTTGTGAATTGGAATCGCTTAAAAAGCTATGGGAATATAGATGTCATTATTTTATTATGCAAGGACATATAGGTAAGCCAGATTAAATTTGGTCGATTATTGCTCAGCGTTCTTGACACATAAACTTGACCATAAACTTACTAAAATACAACTTTTTTGTTCTTTTACGAGATTTTGATTTTCAATGCAAAAAGAAAACAAGTTCCTTCTTATGCATTTAACACACTACTTTTTTATTATCATAAACAAAAGATAGATAACATTCTTCAGAATAGCTGCCATTTTTTACAAAGTCTAAGTCTTTTTTAAAGAGAAACGCTAAATCATCGTTATGCGTGGCGAAAGGTCGGAAGATTCAAAGAGATTGGGGAGGTTAATGAAAGACTAATGATATTCGGACATCTGTTATAAATCACAAACATCAGTTATTATCTAATTACAACAAAATAATAAATTGTTCTGTGAATTTGTAAATATTAAGTTGATAGGAATTTAAATGGAACCGACTTTGACTTACTCTTCTTTCTCTGATTCTGATAAAATATCACCAATCCAATGTTTTAATTCGTAGCTGACTTGCGTTGACTGGTCTACATCTGCTTTCCGGTGTAATAATGATGACGATAACAATAAACGAGTGCGTAAAACGGGAAGACGAGAGTTAGCAAATTCTAAACGCCTTTCTAAATGTCTTAAACGACGAAAAACTGAACATATTGTTATTGGAGTTTGTTGACTCAGTGAACCGGATTCTGGCCAATTCATAAACGTTTGTATAGCTTTTACAATTTGATCAAGATTTTGTTTCGTATTTAAAGCGAATTTCTTGTAATTCTCACGAGATTCTATTAAATTTGATTGAGTCATTGCTAATTTTGCGTGTAAACTTTCCAAATCTTTCTCGAATCCCTAATAACAAAAATTAGCGAATAGAATTACTTTGAGAAATATGATAATGAAATTAAGGAATTATTTTTCAATAGTATTTATCGTACAACTTATCAAAAACATCAACTCATTAATATATATCTCAAAGTAGCCTTATTAATTCATTTTATTAGGATTTTGTGTTCATTGACTGTACTACTCAGACAAAAACATTTGAATTTGTAAGGGTTTGTACTTTTTCTGTTGTTGGTATTAAGAATTAGGATCGACCAGTTTCTTTCGGCATAAAGTGTACACTAACTAGTTTGTCTTGATATTGCTATACAGTTGTAAGCTAGATCAAATTTAAATTTTGGGTAGCAGTTGAATCCAGAGAGAGGACTTATGACTCGTCAGTTAAATTCACACCCGTGATATTCATACTTTCTATATCTAATGAACACAGTGGAAATTTGGACTCTGTAATTTAGTGAACAACGTATCGGGGTTTAAAGTGATAGGTATTGGGCTGGAGTCCCAGTGTGAACTTCAGCACCGGAATAAAAGTGCGTCCAGCTAACATATGTTTTGGCTTTCACTTCTGGTTATAGTCCAACTTCATTAAAAGATGACTGAAGTTTAGCAATATAAAGAAGGTGGATGGTTTACACGAAATCAATATGTAGTTAAATATTGATTTCATCTTTTATATAAAGTGATAAAGAATTATACGAACAACTAATTGGAGCCATGATTCTATTCAGGGAAGTTGTCCACTAAATAAAACTTTAGTTGTCTTCTAACTACCGTCTTATCGAAACGAAGTATCTACTCTGGCTAAACAAAGACATATTTTGAAGAACATATCCCACATACTTTAATTGGTTTATGAAAAAGAAGTATATTACAAAAATATAAACGAAATTCTATACTTTCTATAACATTTAAATGATTGGAAAGGCGCGCAGTAAAGGAACGGAATACTGATTTATTCATTGATGGAGACTACTAACCAAGTGCAGGTTCATGTGGTAAATTTTAAACCGATCGTGTTGTTTTGGGATTTATAACTATAAACTGGTCTCTCCATATGAAATACATCTATTGTGATTTGAACATACTAAACAAGATATTCATATATATGATGAAACATATAGAATCAACTATTAAGTCAATATTTGTTTTGATTTACTGGTGAGAAATATAAGTTTGGAAAGTTAACTAAAGTAGTAATCACTAGCCAGTTTACTTACTTTCACCTGTTACCCCTCGTCGAGGAGCATAGGCCGCCCACCAGCATTCTCCACCCAACTCTGTCGTGGCCAATCCTTTCCAGTCGCTATTCATCCTTTTCATGTCTGCTTCGAATTCTTGACGCAGTGTGTTCTTTGCCCTTCCTCTTTTTCGTTTCCCTTTAGAATTTCAAGTTAGCGCTTGCCTCGTGATGCAGTTTGATGGTTGCCTCAATGTGTGTTCTAACCATCACGAGCGTCTCTTCTCAATTTCCTCTTCAGCTGGAAGCTGGTTTGTTCTAGGTTGTTGCTGATGGTATCCGATCAACGGACATTGAGTATCTTGCGTAGACAACTGTTTATAAATACTTGTACATTTTTGATAATGGTTGTGGTAGTTCTCAAAGTTTTATCTCCGTACACTAAAAATTTCATAACGTTCGTATTGAAGAATCTGACTTTCATTTTGGCTGAAGGTTGTGTCGAGTCGCAAACACTTCAATTGTAGGAATTCTGCCCTTGCTTTGCCCATTCTTTCCTTCACATGTGAGTCAGATCATCCTTGTCTATAGGTGATGTTACCCAGGTACGTAAGACTTTCCACCTCCTCCAGAGTTTTTCCATCGAGTGTGATTAGGTTGATGTTCTCCGTGTTGTATTTGAGGATCTTGTTTTCCCCGTTGTGTATGTTGAGGCCTACTACTGTAGAGGCTGCTGCTACACTAGTTGTCTTCATCTGTATTCGTATGTATGGGATAGAAGAGCTAGGTCATCTGCAAAGTCGAAATCGTCTAGTTGCATCGAACCTTTACATTTTATTCTGTGCTTCTTGTCAAATGTGGAGGTCTTCGTAATCCAGTCAATCACCAGAAGAAAAAGAAAGGGGGGAGTAGTCAACCTTGTCTATCTCCGGTCCTTACTCGGAATACATCTGTCAGCTGTCCTCCATGCACGACTTTGTAGTGTAGTCTATCGCATGAATTCTGTATGATGTTGACGATCTCAGGTACACCAGTGTCGAAGAAGGTTCTTTAAGGTTCTCCTATCCATATTGTCAAATGCATTTTCATAATCATTGAAGTTGGTGTACAGTGACGAACTCCATTTAATTGATTGTTTAACAATGATCCATAGTGTCGCGATTTGGTCTGTGCACGACCAATCCTTATGGAATCCGGCCTGTTGGTCTAGAAGTTGGGCGTCTATTGAGTCTTCCAGCCGTTTCAGCAACACTGTTGAAAACATGTCCTGGCACCGACAGTACTGTGATACCACTGTAGTTCTCACACTTGCTAAGGTTTCCTTTCTTTGGTATCTTGATGAGGAATCCTTCTTTCAGGTCTGTCGGCACTTGTTCTTCCTCCAAATCTTTCTAAATAGAACGTAAAGCATACTTTCAGTTACTTCTATATCTGACTTTAGTGCTTCGACTGGTATGTTGTCAAGTCCTGTTGCTTTCTCATTCTTGATTTGCCTGATTTATTCGATCTTTGGTGGAGTGACATCTATAAGAAGGTCTGTGTGTGCTGCTTCGATGTTCGTTGGATTCAACGAAGCTGGTCGATTCAAGAGTTTTTCGAAGTGCTCCTCCCGTCTGTTCTTGAATCTCGGTGGTGGTATTGCTTTCCTTGTCCATGACGAGTCTCTCTGGTTTACTATATCTCCCTGTCAGTTTCTTTATTGTCATACAATTGTTTCATATTTCCTTCTGTTACTGCTTTCCCCGCTGTCGCTGCTAGGTCTACTAGGTATTTTTGCTTGTCGGCTCTAATGCTATTCTTCACTTGCTTGTTTGCTTCGGTGTATTCAGCTTGTGTCTTGACTTTATCTGCTCTTGTTTGGCTGTTATTAATTGTTGTCTTTTTGTTCTTCATTTCTTGAATCCTATCAAGGGTTTCCATAAAGATCCATTCCTTATGACGATGCTTCTTTCGGTCCAGAACCTCCTGAAATGTTGAAGTTAGAGCTTCCTTGATCCCTTTCCAGTTGTCCTCCATGGCAGTTTCTTCTTCTTTAAGTAGATCCTGTAAGGATAGGCGCCTGTTATTGAGAGTTATCTTGGATTAGTTACGTTTGTCAGTATCTCGAAGGAAGACTGTATTGAACCTTTTTTAATGCTGTTTGTTCAGTTTTCCTATGCTTCTTTAGCTTCAATTTCATCTTGGCAACCACCAAGTGGTGATCTGAAGCTATGTCAGCTCCTCTCCTGGTTCTTACGTCTTCTATTGTCCTTCTGTATTTTCTATTGGTACAAATATGATCTATCTGATTCTCCGTGATGTGGTCCGGTGAGACCCACGTAGCTTTGTGTATGTGTTTGTGTGTGAATATTGTGCCGCCTATAACCAATTTTTTGAGTGCACATAGATTTGCGAATCTCTCGCCATTCTTTTTCCTTTATCCCAACCAGTCCATGTCGTCCCATGATATCTTCATAACTGTTGTTCTCCATTCCGACTTTGGTGTTTAGATTTCCAATTAGGATTGTCAGGTCCTTTCCTGAGCACTTCTCTATGATAGATTGCAGCCTCGAGTAGAACTGATCTTTATCGTCATCATTGCTATCATAGGTGGGTGCATAACATTCATTGTAATGCCGTCTTCCTTTGTTTTGAAGGATGCTTTGATGATCCTGGATACATAAGGTTCCCATCCTATAAGTACATTGCGTGCTTCTTTGACAGCATTAGAGCAACTCCCTGCGTGTGTGTAGCATTTTTCTCCTCGTGACCGGAGTGCAGCGGAATCTCTCCCGTACCTAACCTTTGCTGTTTAGCTTGGGTCCAATGGGATTCGCTGATTCCGAGGACCGCCAAGTTGTACCGCCTCATTTCCGTTGTTATTTGACTGGTCCTTCCGAAGAACCTCGGCTTTCATCATGAGGCATCATAGTTCTTCCTTCAACCCTGAGGGCAGAGTTTAAGTGGTTCAAATTGTATATTCTGGTTAGTGTTTTTTAGCAAGGCCGTTTTTTACGGGATGAGGTTGCCGACCCCACGCCCAACCCTACTTCCTTACCTGGGCTTGGGACCGGCAGTAGCCCTAGGAAAGCTACAGGAGGAGTTAATTACTAGCCGATAGTTTACTAATAATATCAATGATATGAAAGCCAAGTTTATATATAAATGTATGTAAAGTTAAGAACATTTAAAGTTTCACCAAAACACTACTTATTATTGGTTATTTTTTAACCGAAGATTTTCATTTTTAAATAAATTAAACAAGAAAAACACTAATGCGATGAGGGTACAACCAATCAATAGGGTTTGTTTTTCCTTATACTTACAAATGGGTGTCATAGTTCAATAACAATGGGCATCTGACGAGATATAACAGAATATATATGAGTTAAACCTGTTACTCCTAAAATCTCTACAATGAAAGTTGTTGGACATATATAAGTGTACTTTGTAACCCGAAGACAATTTCGAGGAGAGTAACAATCTTAATCTTTTGGACCATACTTTCACAACCACGGTATTATTATTCGGGAAGTTTCCTTTTTCTGAGTATACGTCATGATATTGAATCTAATAGCGTATACTAGTTTTAATCAACACAAAAAGTATAGAATTTCAATTATTTAATTTCGTTATTATTTCGTACGGAGAAAACTTCTACTTACCTGTCTTTTATTACGTTCTACGTTCAGTGCAGAATCGCTAGCTTTCAGTTTAAATTCAGTTGCTTCTAAAGTTGCTTTTAAAGATTCAAATTCTGAAAGTAGCTTTTCATAGGCACACTTTGATTTAGTTACAGTATGAGAATTTTCAGACTTAAGATTTTCTACTTCAATAAGTAAGCGTAAAACATGTTTACGCCATGTGCAAAGTAAATTTTCCACTTTTCCAGACCTAATTTAAATTTATATTTGCAAAATGAATCTATACTGTACATGGGAATTATTAATATAACTGAAATGAGGCATTAAAATTAACAAATGATAGTCAGAAATAAACACAATTTGACCATGTGATATTTAGATATGAATTCAATACGATAGATTATGCAAGGAAATGATGATTTATCTTTGGTAAAAGAGCTACAAACTTAACAACTAGGTACATATATGATGATAGTTCAGCTCGTAAGAATTAAAAAGATATTTTCAGAGAAAAAAACTCCAACTTAAATTTCAATAAAAGGATGTGAATATAAGTGAATGTGTCACAAGTGTGTGTATGAAGAGAAAATCCAGTTACACAAGGAAAGCTTTGTATTTTTCTGATGTAAAGCTTTATTATTATTAATGTCAATTGATGTGAGTTAATGTTTTCTGCCTTCCTGGTTTAGGTATGTATATACACTTCTTAGAAAAGTCACGTTTTTTCGACTTCATATACAAAGGTGTCCTACTAAGAGTTTATCCCATCATCTTGGAGCATGTACACGAAATAATCTTCAGTAATGAAGATACTGACAGATATTATTTCAGAACACATGATTGTAAATGCATGAGATGTATTTTTTGGTCTGATAATAGGAAGTGGACTAATTAAGAGAATTAGTCTCTTCACTTATCATGATAGCTTTATCAATCATAGTAAGTTCGTGATTGATGAATTCAGGCTGCAGATATTAGTATCTTTTTTCCCTTTGTAAAGTTACACTACTTGTGAGGGAGGTAGGATATCCAATTATTTGTCAAAAGGTGAGTTTATGGTCTGGTTAATCCGCTCTTTTTCAATACATGGATGTTAAAAGTGGCTTCTGAAAGTAGGTAATATGCACAGATTACAAGTCCTGTAATGTGTATTTGAATTGTTGCTCGAATACGGTGGAATTATCAAGTGAAAATGCTGCGGTAAGAAAGAGAGTGTAAGATAGAGATGATCAATTGGTTGGATAGATTGTGAATCTTAGTCGACTAAACTGACTAAGACTTTTGTATTACACATCTAACCACCTTCTACCTTGGTGCGCTATCTTAGTTAGCAAAGAATCAGGTTTTTAAGAGTATAGAAGCGGCTAGATAGATATATAGGATCAGTTTATAGTAATAATAATAATAATAATAACAATAATAATAATAATAATAATAATAATAATTTATATTCTGAAAATAATAATTACAGAAGCTGTTGTCTGTTGGTCTGAGTCATGTAGGTGAGGAAAAATCTTTCATTAGTGGTGAAGATATTTAAGATCTACGGTTTACGTCGTATAACTTGAAAACCACTTCAATAATATTATTTTATAACAATTAGTAGCTTTTTTTACTCATAGACTTTGCTAGTTTCAGTACTATTCTTTATTTTCTCTTCTTTATCTCTCCTAATAATTTATCATCTCTTATATATGATAACTTGAATCGATACATATCTCTGGTAGGCCATATCTACATCTATTGACGATTATTGTATTACGTAACAACTATGTACATACGGAGTTCGTTATTATTTACAACTGTTTGAGGTGCAGATTTGTGATTATTAACATGGTAGAGACTAATGATTAGTTAATGTCCATTCTTCAATTTGGCAGACTATTTATAGCTGGAAAAGGATTAGTAAAATATTTTAAACCTCTTTGTCAAGAAATAGTAAGACACATTGTGAAACGTAATTTTGCTTTCGTCGATAGGATTAGGAACCTATATGAGGCTAGCACATATTCATTTTAATGGTCGGTATGCAACTTTCAATTATAAATATTTTTCATGATTGGAATGATTTTCGGTATCAGCATATAGGTGACATATTTCAAGATGTATAGACAACGTATAACTTTTTGTTCAATAGGAACTCTCACAGATAACATTAGGACATTATTGTGTAACAAACTGAAATTTGATTTTGAATAAACGAAGGATCGCTGGATAGTTGGTCGAAATGGTTCTAGTTGAGTAGCTATTTTATTTAGTGAGAAAATTGTGTTCGTAATATTCTTGGGCAGATTATTGAAATAACATATATGAGGGATGTAAAGAAACTAATATTGTAAACTGAGGATCATATTCTAACTTTCTAGTGCCTAAATCAGTCAGTTTATATTCGTGTCATATAAATCTTGACCATTCATACGATTTGGTTTCAAATATTCAGTTAGTCAATCTTGCATCATAATCACGTTACTATTTCGTATAAACGGAATGCATCGAGTAAAAATGTCAGTCTGTACAATTTCTAAAAAGATAGTGAAACTTACTTATTATTAATAGGTAACACTTCATTACCACTTTCTCTGGACAACTGTTTTTCTTGAATTTCTAAAACTGTCTCCAAACTACTCATTCGATTATTCATTTGTTCAAGTTGCAGATTTAACTCAGAATTTTTATTCTCCAAATATTTCAGCTAGAAGATGAAAATAATTGGAAAATGTATAAAGGCAAATCTGGGTGATTCTATTATGGCTTTAGATGAGAAAATAAAAAGGACCATTCCGAATTCCAAATAGAAACTAGTGAATTGCTGAAGCAACTGATTCTGACGTCACAAAAAGAACCAGACTTCAGAAGATCATCAAAAAATGCTACATTGAACTAAAAATACAAAGGTGTGAAAGAAAGCAACCTAAAAGAATATTGCTTCAAGATGACATTTATTGTAACTATTTCCTCTAATTATACAAAAAAAGTGATCAGATAATGCTTCAAAAGCGTCTCAACATATATATAATAAGGCGAGTGGTAGAGTGCAACGTTTTTTTATACTAACCAACATATAGAAACTAATAGTTTTAGGACACAGATGTATATAACCAAGCTAGCTCAGTCATGATACGAAAATTATGTCTGAGAAGACTCAACGATTGATATTAAAATAATTTCGGCGTTCCTTCTAGCAAATGATTTGAGCTTCTTCAGAGAAACAATCAAGAAAAATCTATTAAATATAAATAAAGTTTACAAACCAAATAATGCCAAAAACGTGTTTAATTACGTTTAAATGTTGATTTTGTTTATAGTTATGTGGAATTTGTTCACAATGTGAGATAAGAATAAACATTTATGCGTGTCTTTATGTTATTCTTAAATTAAGGATTTAGTGGGTAAATGAATCCTCTGACTACAATCAGGGACATATTCATCATTTTTGTTTACTATAAATCGATAAGTACACTTGAGTAAATTTAGTTAGTCGTAATATATGTAGGATGTAAGCAGTAAGAGTTAGTCGTGATGCTAAACATTGAAAATAATTGAAGGCGACTTTCAATTATGATAACTGACTGAATTATTAGGCGTCGGTCTTTTAGCTGGAATTCAACTACAGATTGCATAGATAGGCTGGATGATAAGGTTCGAAAATTTGTTTGTTGATTAACAGTTCTCACGATGCAGCTAATCCGATCATTTTTCTATTCAAGCTATTCTTATTTACCAATATAGGCATTGGTTCTTTGTGAATGAATGCCAAAACTTTTCTGAATTTTGATTCTTTTAAAGTTGGTCTTATGTCCTGTTTCTAACGAATGCAGTGCAGTTATAGATATATCCTCTAACTTATTGAGGTCTAGTGAGGATTTATGGGGCATGTTTCAAACATTGTTTATGCTTCTTCAACTTCACATCCAGTTGCTTGAATGTTTTTCCCAAACATGAACATTGTAATCACTTAAGTTTTAGTCCCCGAGATTATTCAATATAGTTTTTACAGATGTCTTTACTATGATCGGTGCCTAATTTCTGTGAAACTATTCGATTAAATTGTACAAATGATCATATAACTCAGTCATTTCCAGTGATTAGGGAAACGTCCAACAACTCGTCAACCGTTAACGGATTATTTATTTTACAGCACTAATAATATTACATCATTAAAAAAACCCAAGTGACATTATACGCTGATAGCTAGACCTTTAATTTAATTATTTGCTGGAAACGTTAAAAAAGATATTCCAACTCTCGAAACCTATATTTAGACAAAGAATTCGATGAAAGCAAAAGTCATTAATAAATAGGAAGTGGCAGAGTAAAAAGATACATAGATTAGAAATTGAAAAGTCTAATTCAAACCATTTAGTTAAAATTTATATATAACCTTTTCCAGTAATTCTGTATCGCAAATACATTTATGTTGTTCAAGAGAATCTTCCTTAAATGTAATTTTAGATGAAACTCTACCCAATCCAATGTATCCTCGTATTTTGTTCAATTCGTCTAAAGCTTTCGTCTGACTTCGTAAAAGATATTCATTTTCTTGTTTCAGTTCATTAACAAATTTGTTGGTGTAATTGAATTGTATGTCTTCTGAATTGATTCGATCAAAGTGACCATCATCGTTTAAATCAGCTGAATTCTTATTTAGTCTGAAAACAAATTAATATAACTTATTTTTAATAAATCTATGATACGCAATTTGGTGGAGTTTTGTTCGTCCACTTGAGCTACAAGTGTTCACCATCTATGATACGCACTTTGGAAAAATAAAAAGAATTACTGCTAGCAGAATTGCAACATGTTTTACATTGTATGAATGATAGTTTATGAATTAAAGCATTGAACGTTTGAGTTACAGGTTTGAACCCTGCTAAACCTAATTAGGCTTATAGTCAATAACTATCTTCACTAGCACTTAAATATAAAGTATGGACTATAATCAAACAAATGAATCTGTAATCGGTTATTAGGTTGTTTTGATTAAACTAGTAATTTGCGATCAGAAGCCCTAATATATACATACAAAAGGACACTGTGCCCTTAATTAATAATAACAATAATATACTTTGAACACGATAATAGAATTTATTACAATTTACTATTTTGACCAGGTTGATACAAAAGAAGAGGTAACATTGAAAATTAGGACATATCTTTAGAACAGACGCGACTTATAAATTTTGACTGAACATTGGTAAATAACATGAAATAGGTAATCAAAGGTAACATCGTTGTAAAGCACATCATAATTAGTAGAATACACACTATAATAGTAATAAACTTTGCTAGCACATTGCTGTCAATAATAGAGGAGATGGCAATGTATGACAAACATGATTAGATGTTTTACAAAGGTAGCACGCATAACAGTAGCATCATTAGGGTTTTCGAAATGGTAGATATCACATTTTTGCTAAGGATTATACCTTAAAAGATCTAAGCGTTGAAGAGTTCGATTTTGTTTTCTAAATCGTTTTCGCGTTCAATATTGAACGGTATTTATTGTTACTGTACAGGTTTGTAATGCGTTGAGTGATTGCATAGTGTGTAATTTATTGGGAAGAATTGGTCTCTGAGAGAGACTATTCTGAATGACTACAGATTTTCAAGAATATGTACGTAGTACTAAAGAGTTCTCTTTAATCCTATCTTAATACAAGGTTAAACAAACAATGGTTTATAATTAAATGGAGGTGAATCTCGAATCGATAAAATAAAATTCACATGTATATACGATAAGTTCTTTAGCTGAAATTGAGTCGATTTTTGAGGATTATGGTCAACATATAGAACTTATAAACGAGGATTTAATGAATTTATCAATTATGCTGGTATTATTAATAGAGAATGTGAACGCTTCCAGTTGATCCCCCTCTTTGATGACCAGTTCAAACGTCATTTTTATCTGTGGGTCTTCAATTTCCAAGAAATGAGGATATCCACACATCTTCCTAGTCAAATTTAGCAACAGCCCGGTGATAACGTTACAAATAGTTATTGGAGCATGTCGGTAATTAATAAACCTAGAATCTTTATATGTAAAAAACCATAAATATACTAACGTTTCTTTTATTGTGATTTCTACTTCCATCCACCCTTTCTATTTGTAACATAATTGCGTTCCTGTTGAATCGTGTTCTGATTTAGGGACTTGTCGAGTGAAGTAATGTCCAAGAATGCTAAGCGATGAGTAGCTGGGTAGTAATAAGAGAAGTTATAACGCTGGGCGATTTGATTTAACAAAAAAATTATGAATGTGCATTATTCATTAACACTGTTATACTAATCAGATATATACAACTCTAGAAGAGCATTTAGAATAACTTTTTAGATTACTTACTTAGAAATAATCGAGCTTATTGACAATTTTCTAGTGCTCTTATTGCTTATTGCCGAATTAGTGCGTTCAGCATCATTGTTCACATCCTGAGGGCAATTGAAATGATTAGGATTTGAGATAAGAAAAGCAGACGGTGGGAGCAAAACTTCACCAGTTTGTTCACTTTTCATAATCTCTTTGTAGGCTAAGGGAAAAAAAGTTGGCAAATATCTGCAACCTTTATGTGCGACATAAAACACGAATTAATCTACATTTGATATAACAATGTAAACTTGTTTGGTGTAAAACTGATCATCATCAAAACGTCATTGTGAGTAGCTATAATTTTTGAAAGGGTAATGTCCTTAAGAATTTATTAAATGCATTATGATAAGTTAGTTTCTAACCTTATGATAACATTACCTACAGGTTACGGTATTTATTTTAGTAACACCCTCATACAAACATTAATGAGTTTAGAGTTAGACCCAAAATGTTAAGTGGAAATGGAAAGATGATCTTTAACGTGTTACAAGAAAGTTGAATGAAGGTAGATGTTGCGAAGTAGAGATATGCGAAATGTTATCATGATATGAAACTTTGAGTAAATCTTTCAAACACGTGAAGTGGATGATTCACCCTTCAATCAATACGTTTTTACACAAGTGTTTCCAACAAACAACCCAAAGACTACTTCAGAAAATCAAGATAACCCCCAAAAATTGCTATAGTCTACTGCAAACAAATCTGCCAATTCAGTGACAACAATATTATTAGTATTTTTTGAATGAATCATGGAGAAATCATAAAAGTCGACTGTCTTTTGTTGTTTAAACAATAATACTCTATAATGGATCAGTTCCTCATAAGTAGTTTTTAATCACAAGAACAGAATATGAAATTTGATTTATTTCGATTTCTTAATAAAATTAATCCATGCACATTTCTAACCTTTTATTTTATGAAACGGTGAAAAAAACCAACTCATGATTTACTGCTTATTAAGATATGAGCTCTGAGCGGTAAATAATTAATTAACAAGCTAAAATGAACCTTAGTAGAAAAAAACTGGTAAACAAGCCAATATTTGTAGATAGAAAACAAGAAACTATCCATAAAGATACAATTAACACCACGACTTGGTCAAAGTTTAAGTAGGAATTCCCCAAACATGGAGACAAATTTTCAAAAAGGATGGTTTAAACATATATTGCATAGAGGCTACCGTTTTATTTGTCAATAAAACAAATCATGGTAATACTTGACACCGTATCAGTGTTTACAGGAATTTTTAAATTTATCAGAATACCTAGTATGGAATGGTTAGACAAATGGTAGTACTGAACTAGTAAAATAAGTCAACGAACATTTAATAAAATGAAAATAAAATCGACATTTCATTGGAATTCAGACAAGAAAACAGAAGAAATGAATAATAACAATTTATTTGAAAACAAAGTAACATATTCCAAAAAAATAAATGATTTCTGATCGAATATAACTATGCACAAAATTGGAATAGATGCAAGATATATATATATATATATATATATATATATATATATATATATATATATATATATATATATATATAAGTTGTGAAAGTAATCTCATAAACAGATTAAAGAGGATTTATTCAGTATGGGAAATAAAAGAGGATTTGTCAACAGCTTCGTGTCCATGCCGAAACATAGTTAACTGATATAATAAAATACCAGCAGCAACGGATACATTTAAAGATGATGTAATACTTTGTGATAGACATTGATTTAATTTGGTTGAATCTCCAAAGCCTGGTATACGTAGTAATAAATCGCAAGCATTTAAAATATTTTCGCTGAGACCCCGTGATTCACTTCCCAGGGCTAAAACCAGAGGTCTAGGGTAAACTCCAGTGTTATTGTCATCATTAGCGCCCACCTGAAGTAATTACAAACAGTGGGATAATTACAGGATAGTAATATAATCCGACTACAAACATTGAAACAATAAGTTTGTTTCTACATAACTTGGCAATAATTCGGTTCTGGAGTAAAACAAATTTGCAACACTGTATATATACTACTTGGTTTCTTCCTTCTCAAAATAATACATTTATTAATTTATCACATAGAGCTCTCAAAATCTGCTTGGTTGTGCTGCTGCTAAATGTGTTTACCCTACTGGACATCATCCAATAAATCACTGTCAGTTTTTTAGCATAGTATCTCAACTTCAAAACCTTGATGGAAGGACTAACAAAATCTGTAGTGAAAATTCTTTATTTTAACCACAATCAAAGCCCTCACCTGAAAATAGAACAACACAACGTATTTCAAACACTTAATCATGTAAAAATGTATTTCCAGTCAGTCAGTCACAACGTACAACCTAGTACGTATGCACATTGGTTCAAGTTGCCATACCCCATAAGTACAGAGAGATGAAATTGTCAGGGGGTGGTCTTTCTAGTAGGTTACTGTGATTGACTTTGTGTTGAAGTTCAAGGTAAGCCAACTGAAGCTGCTACATCATTTTTTCACCTAAACTAACAAACAGTCAACTTAGATAAAAATACCAAAAACAACGGAGTAAATGGAATAAGGATTTGTAAAGTAACACGACTGAATATATATCTCAAGATTTAGGGTTTTGTATATGCTTTAGGAAGTTTGTCCCGTCGAGTTTTATACAGTGCATTATTTGACGGTAGCATTGGATTGACAAAGTGGAGACGTGGTCAATTTATGATGTGGCGCCGTAGAATAACTGTTTGGGATTGGGATCTGTTTGTCTACCAAGAACCCCCCAAATGAGTCTCAAATAAGCAGTATAGTAGTTTGAGGCGTTATCAAACAAGTTTCAGAACAAAAGTCAATGGGAATCTTAGTATATTTTTTATTATGTTCTCCAAAAAAGTTAGGTGAATCCTCCAAACTGTGAATTTACCTTTCAATGAACACTATTCTCGTTAGTTAGTCAATTTTTATATGACCTTGCTATATTCTGCAACATTATTGTTTCAATTTGTGGGGGCATTTTTGGTGTCACCTTTTAGTATCAAACCTTTTTGTTATAGGTAAAAAGATAAAAGAAATTTGAGAAACTACAGAATGAGGATTACGTTCTAGAAACAGATATAATAATATTCGGATATCTTGACTGAAAAAATGTGCTGAAATACGATAAGCCTTTATATTTTCATGGTTGTTTACTTAGCATTCGTTTTTCTGTGTACCTTTAAATGTTGTTTATGTGATAGCTCATATTTTGCATACGTTGGTTTCTGGTGAGCTGTCGATATCTCGTAAACTGAAAGGTAAAACACTTTATTTACGATAATAATCCAAAGATCGAGACGATTGAAAACGATATGCGAACAAATGGCTGAATGATGTGTAATTTAGTACAAAAACGGTTTATACCCTTTTGGTTACAATTTAATGGTTTATTCTTTTGTATATTTTCTACGCTTTTAATATTTGTGAGAACATTCTTTATGAGGTTCTAAACTTATGGTTATATGTTAAAGCATCGGAAACTATTTTACGGATATATGCGAATATTCGTCAATATTTGAACGAATAGTTTGACAGATACTGTGCCCCGACAGTAATGTTTTACATATATTAGGACCAAAAAAATGAAGTACATTGTTTCCCACAGTTTATGACAAATTATTACTAAGTAATTAATTCAATACTCAGTTCAAATTGTTGAGCAATGCGGTCGCTGAAAATACTGGTGAGTCTGTTACATTATTTACAGAACAGTCAGTACCTCATCGGGTTTCAGAAAATTTGTAGATTTGGAAGCTTTAGTTGATGGAAGTTGACTTTCCCCGCAAGTACCAACTATCAAAAACCCAGCATTTGATAAGGATTTCATATCCATTACTGTATCAGTTAACCTATAAAATAAGATACTTTCCATTGCGCCAACACTAATTTTGCTTATTAGAGGTGATGGGCTGACACACGGAGAAGTAGATAGTATGACCGCAGATATACCAAAGAATGCTGCTGAACGCAATATGTTCCCAAAATTCATGATATCCATCATATGATCCACAAGTAGAACAGTAGGTCTATGATACTTTTTTGCGTATGGTAAACAGCCTGATAAATTATTCCAAGAAAATAACAAATTTTTAATCGACGAGTCTGAAACAGATTGTATGGTGGTAGGAGAAACTTCAAGTATTACACCCTGATGGGCTCTTGAATTACTTAGTTCTTTGAGCTTTTCGACTGGTACTCGAGTTACTGGTATGCCATATTTGAGTGCTTTCTCGGTTATTTGAGATGCTGATATCTCTACGAGATTGTCGGGATCTTTGCAGTTGCTCAATACGTCTTTGACGTATAGCCGGTAAATATCGCGATGACGAAACGTAAGAGCACACAAGACAGGGTGAATTCCATATAGTAGCTCAGATGACTGACGAATTCCTCCACGAAAATTAACAGAGGTATGAAATTTACAACTTAGTTTGCCGAAGAATGTGACCATTGGTGAATATAAGTTGTTTCTTGGCTTAAAGTGGTAGCATGAATCGACCAATTGGCAACTGAAGTCCAGATAAAAAAGTAAAATAGATGTCAGAACGAGTTCCATACTGGAATCGGCACGCTGAATTTAAAACTTATGAATAATACGTACACTAGATCAAATCAGTTATATCGAACTGAATTGAGTCGCCATAACTTCACAGACATTGAAAACGGTTAATAACCAAACAGGTATAATCGTGTGAAAACAGGTAACGTTAATGGGATTTCATCTAATGATTTCTGATACGTTAAGATCACGTTTCAGTAGTCTACAACCATAAAGCTTTAGATTAGGGGAGACTTCTATTAATATTTTATTGCGACCACTATGACTGCAAGGTGTGTCAGTTATATAATATATATCCAGAATCATATAAACCAACGAGACAAAACACCAGGAGAAAATTTACCTTCTCACGAAATCCTATGCTTTGTGGGAGGAATATTCATTTCGCATTCACTAGGTGCTTCGAAACAGCAAATAATAGAATTTCCGTATCCTAAATTTATAACAGGGCGGCATAATGGTTTGGATTAAGCACAGGATACATTCTGAAAAACTGGCACCTAAGTATTCATGTCGGTTACCTTATATATATATATATACTGAGAGGCTTAGAATATAGTTTTACTAACTAACAAGATGCCAATACTACTGACTTAATAACATTCCTGAATTTTTTAAATTCCACCTATGTTAAATTTTGTTTTGGTGAGCTACGGTGAAGTAAATAAAAGTGCAGGTGAGTATTCGTTTAATGCAGCAATTTATATTACCAGATGATATATGTTTGTTTCATTACAGTATGACCAATCGACTGGCATTATGGACAATAATAACGGAACCGAACTACTTCCAAGAAGATATTAAAACACTTGTTTGGTCAAAATGGTTCTCTTCATTCCAGTTCCAGATATCTAATCCTCTTTAGGTTGTTTTTACAATACAATAAAGACGAGCTCATGGATACATCTAGGTCCAGATTCAGTTACTAAGTCGTAACAATGTTATCCACTCGATGCTCATAGTTTCGGAGAGTCCTATTAGTGGTGGGTCCCGAGTTAAAAACTTTCTCTATGAGGTTTCAGATATTTTTTTCGGGTTTCCAGGTATTTGGTGCAGGATGGGACATAAGAAATCTAGAAACTTTATTATTTTTGCTAGCCTGCACAATTCGTTTAACTGCTTTGTTATTGCTAGGTATGAGTGAAGTCATCTCTTAACCCTTTTTGAAAACATAAAGTTATAAATGTGGTGGTTCTTTAGTTAAAGAACCTAAGATTCAGTAACTCGGCTAGATACTTCGATTGAATACCCAGGTAGTATTCCTAACATGTGTTATAGAAATTAGCTCGGGTGTATAAATTTATTTGAACACAAATATTGATACAAAGGGCACCGAATACACATGCGCCGCACACATCACTTGATTTGTGTTTGGGCTGTGATACTGCCCAGATGCCCAGACTGAAGCAGGTGTATTAGGAATCCTGATTAAGAAATAGCGATATGCTCCTAGCATGTCAGTTGTGCCCTAACAAACTACTGCAAATTATTTTAATCAATATCAATAAATAACAAAACTACTGATGTTGCTAACGACGTAAGGTATATTATACTTGAAAACTTAAACACAATGAGTTGGGATTATGACGGTTTTGCTATTGAAAATTATCGGACTTGTCTTCACAATTTGTACGTCAGAGTTTCTATGGTGTCTGCAGATCGTAGACTCCGCTTAGAGATTTCTTATGGTCTTAGAGGTAGATATATAGTCATCACAATCAAAAAGTCTACGTCGTGTTACCAATTGAAAAGAATTGCATTAAACCTTAAAAGAAAGCCCTGTATGTTCTCACATATAAAACAATTGCAAAAATATATTCACGTAATTCACCGCCATTACATGGTTGTCAGTTTCACCATATTTACCAATTTGTTTACACAACAGTAAAGTTAGGCATGTGACTTCGCCAATAACTGATCTTTATTCTTACAAAGCTACTAGTATAAACTGAATAAATTCATGCAGTCTGATATATCATACTGAACTTCAAAGTTATTCGGAAGATCGGCCACATACTTTTGAAGGTTTAAATAAATGCAATCGAAGTATAGTATCCGTTGTAAACCAATCTCATATTAGCACCCTAACCCTATGGACGAGTTTCTATACCATATGCATTATGAATTCAGAACCTCTGAAACTTTATCAAACCTTAACAAGTTTTTAAATCATGAAAAAAGAAGAATACCCACTGTAATTCATGACTTAGAATATATTTTCACATTATACTGTCTTCTGATTGGCTAATATTTGTCAAGGTCATTCAGGAATCGTTCAAAGGTCGTCCTTAAATTAGAGTCTCGCCGAATAAAATTGTTTATTAATCACTAATCTTCCTACTTATTCCCAATAATTTATTGCATATGGGGTTGTAGAACGGCTGTATGTCAGATGTTTATTTTACTTTTATTTATCAGGTTAACAAGCACATGATTACCTTGGTAAAGGCCAAGAAACCAGTTTAGGCGCCATACTAGGCTGCTAAATAATGCTAATATGTGGAGTAGAATAACAAAACTCAATCAACAATATGTTTGACAAGAATAGCGTTATTTGCCAGTCGTTGACCAATTAGTCGTAAACATATCGATCCTACAAGAAACCAGTTGCTCCTAGAACGGCCGAATGAAGTTTCAGATTGTGAATGTGGAGAGCCAAGTAGTACCAGTTCATTCATAACCCCAAGCATTTCTTTTTCTGAAATGTCAGATGACATGAAACCTAGGTTTTGGGTTTCCAGTAGGCTACTGGACTTCACCATGTAGGTTGGTTTAAACTACTAGGTTGATTATTGTACTCAATATTTCGCGACTTTTTATTTGTGGTCTATACATCGTCATAATCCAACACCTAACTTGCAGCAGGACGACTTCTGAGGTCCCTTACCACATCCAGTGTCTCCATAATTACTACCCATCACTTTTTAGTCCGGATCCAAAGGTGCGTAAATCGTGGTAAACAGTTTTAAAGCGAATTTTCTAAAGGCTACTGTTTTCGGATGATAATATATCGAACGTACATTTGAAGTCCCACTTTGGCAACTCTGCATATAAAATGGAAAATCGAATTCATCGTATTGTAGCGCGGTGCTGAGTCACGGTTGACTGTGAACACCGCTACAAAGAAACACGTGCCAAGTAAATCAGAAGGCGAGGGTTAAACGTAACCAAATTAATCCATTAAATCCCCGAGAAGCCAAATATCAGAAGACAATTAATGGACTTAATCGAGATATATTCGCTGGCGATCTCGTAGCATCGAAAGGATACTGAGGTGGTGCCAGGATAGAAGCCTGGTTACAGAACGTATCCGAATTCGCGCGAAGTTACAATCAAAGGTGTGTGTATAAGAATGGAAGCAAAATGTAGCTGTCATTAGCACAGTCAAACAAAAGCACATTTAAACGAGCACTGGTACAGTTGTTTATAATAATAATTGTTTTTATTAAACCAGTCGTGTTCTCGTGATAAATGTGAGTCACTACAGTATTTCCTAGTGTTCCGTTAATGAACATCATTGGTACAGTAGCCTTCCACTTTCTTAGACCTACTTTAAAATCCAGACTTACCTAAACATCATCATATAGGTTTTTGAGGTCTATTAGCTAGATTTCAACGTGTCATGCAGCTCGATCAACCTGTAGAATACGAAAAATTAACGTTGTGTGCTTAAAGTCACAGAAGTCAATGGAACTTGATTTTTCGGAATGAACTACCAAGTATAATCACTATGTCTATAGGAAAAATATACGACAGTTTGTTCATACATAGCGAGGGCTAAATATGTTCAACGTTTGTGCACTTTTGTTTTTTGAATAGGAAAAAGAGAATTCAGCGAAGAAAATCTTTTTGACGAAATCCTTTACTTAAGCTGTATATTCGTATATATAGTTATATGGAAAACGTGTGCCTATGGGAAAATAGAAAAAACTGCATCACAAAAATGGATTCGAGAATAAATAACAAATAAGGTTACGTACTAATCAAGGGTGAGGAAGAAAATCGTTTATGGGACAGATAATAGTCCAACTGACAGACAACCACAAAGGTCATAATGATAGACTGAATAATAATCAAGAAAACTTGTATAAAATAATAATAATAACTGATTAGAGTTTAAAATGCAAAACAGTAATATTCAAAAAATTTATTAATAACCGAAGAAAAATGCAGAAAAAAACGAGAAGGGAATTAGGGCCAAGGAAGGATGAGAGGTTGGACAAATCGTATCTGCACGCAGAGTTCTGGCATGAGTTCGTGATTTGCCAGTGCCTCAGCAGTGCACAAAATATTGATTCGGGACCCCTTCGATCCAATTTCCTTGACTCTGCAGATCCCTTTAAAGAAGAATCCTTGAGAGCGACGTGTCCAAAATTGGTGCTCTTGTATAGAACTAGTGGTTGTCTTACATTCTCTTTTAAAATATTGACTTCAAAAACGGAAGAAAACACATGTAAAAAACGTGAAATACGTAAATTATCTAATGATACAACGTAGTCGGCTGCTATGCACCACAAAATTTGGGACTGGAGAACAAAATGCAACATTCTGTGTATTGGTTAAAATACGATTCAAAGATTATAAGAATAAAAAATTCCTACAGAGTTCTTGAATAACTTCGACTCCGTAGAAACCTATATGGTACCCACCTTCATGTAATATGAAAATACGTAGATATTGAAACAGAAACTTCACACAGTGGAATAAGTGTTGTAGAACTTTATAGTAACAACAACAAATAAAAAATCATGAACACCTTGAAATCAGACAACCAAGCGTAACACGTTGATATATTTGGCTACGCTCAAAGCCAAATGATAGATCTGGTACCAACTGAGAGTAGAACAGACCTCGAAATCCGTGATCTTCACGTAAGTTGATTAGCGTATGTAAATCCTAACTACCACTGCTGCTGCTAGAATGAATAATGAAAGGAATTAGAAGGATCAGTGGTATCACTAGAAGAGACGAATAATAGCCACAAACTCGACAGCTTATGCAAAAAAATCAAACAGACAACCTGAAGGACAGCTTTTATTTTAAAAAACGTAACAAACCATATTGAAAAGCGTGATTCGACTTTCCATACAAGCTGGGATGATACCCTCCAAACATATTTGGGCGAATTATACTAACCCCACATCAGGATAAAAAGGAATCAACAACATCACAAACTAATGAAATATAGAGGAAACAAACTTAAAACATTCTCTGAAGAAAAATGTACCAATTCCGGAATAATTCAAAGAATTTCACGCCGCTGCATTGATGCGAATGTTATCAGCATCTACAAACATACTGATAGGAAAACAGATTCAAACAATTAACAGAACACATTCATGCTGAGCACCAATGGTAAAATCTCCAAAGGAACAATATGCCCACCACTTGCCAAAATAACAGATCTTCCCAAACCAACTGTCTGCTTGAAAACCAGAAAACAGATGACTCTGTAGAGGAGGAAGAAGTGATTAGACAAACTGTCAACTGCCTCTGTAGCAATGAAAGAGGACTACAATGCTAACTATGAGGTGTGAGAAACATGTGACTTCGGCTCTATTTGAAGATCGTTGTCGTCAATGAACATTGCTATCGCTCTGTATCACGGATATCACGGACAGGATACTTTTCCAATACGACGAGGTACACAAAACATGAGGTGGAGTGATGATATACATGAACAGTTACTTCACAGACGAAACATCACTCAGTACCGAATTAACCGACGTGGCGGAGTCATGCTGGTGTTGCTTTGATAAGAATGCCATTAGGTAATTGATTGTAAAAATATACAGACTCCCACAGGTTCTAAAACCCACAGTCGTGAGATAATACATGGAATACTAAAGCTACTATGCTCAAGGTTTGATTAAATACTACTAGCAGCAGACTTCAACACTTCACCTGTCAAGGGAACTGAGGTGTTGACACCATTAATCTTGTTTGGTCATGCTAACATCCCGCTTTCAGGCACCAGAGAGTCTGTGATTGCACCGTGTCCGGGATTCGAAATTCATGGTCGGGTTCAAGAGTCAGTGAGAATAACTAACGAAAGTGTGGAAAACATTAATCCTTATTATTGATATATAGACTTTTGTTATTGACATCATGCTAATATTATAACAGTGTATGAACCTGCTGTAGTTGTTAAATAAACGAATCTCTGCATAATCTTTTGTTCTCCAGTTTTGTTTGGCAGTCGGTGATAGTAATATTGTTTCATTCTCTATAATGATGTGGACACTCTGACCGCCACACTGTCCCCAAATATAATTAGGTAGGATATAAAAACTACAGGGTGGTCCCATAAGCGAAAGTTCGGGAGTATCTGTGCATGTGGGTGGCGTTGTGAGATGGGATGGGAAGGAAAAGACTTCAAACTTAGATTTTTACAGACAAATGATCAGCTTCTAGTTGAGTTTGTCAATGCCCACTTTCCAGTAGGAGGTGGTGACCATGGTGCAGTCATGTCTGACATGATCACAAACGAGATGCCTGGTGAGGACAAGGATTCCCATTATCTTACTATACTAAGACAGACTACATGACTACGAGGAAGGATCTGCAACATGCCTCTTGGCCACAAATGATGAAGGCTAACACTGGGTGGCCACTGGAAGATAGTTAGAGACATCATTCAGAACGTTATCCAACACATTGTACTCCTAACCCAGAATATCGCTACAAATTCATGACCAAGAGTGAAGTGGCCCGTGAATCTGACTCCTATTTTAGATTGTGCGAATGTTTGCTATCGCTGATTCTCGTATATCATCGTCGACTTAAATCACGTTAGTCCATAACGGAATTAAATAAGTCAATTAACGAGAATGGCCATTGGATACATATATTTTGTATGTAAAGTGAATGCGATAGAACAAAGAGAAACGACGCACAGGGAGGATGGCTGTGAAGCCAACTCCAATTCAAGCCGAACATTACTCAATATTTATAGGCAGACAAAATGAACTACAGACATGTGATGAGTCATCGGACATGAAGTGTACACACATGTACGCTCATGTGAAAACAGTCAAGGCTAATAAGCGAATAATTAACAAGGTCAAAACATGACTCAAGTAGAATGAGTAGAATGGAATGTCCGGAAACTAGAATAAGATATACTATGGGCTAAAACGAATGACTAACACTACATAGCCCCCTCGTAGAAAATAGCACATTTAAAAAATGTCTGTTTTCGAAAATAATACTGAAGTGATATGAAGCTAACGTTAACAAGAAGTAACCAAAAAAAATTGTACAATCGATAAAGTACAGTGTCACATGAGGGGTGAGCGTATTATATGAAAATGTCATGCTCATGCAAAAGAATACATGAATATAGAAAAGACGCGGACAAAAATGAAAATGTTAGCATGTGAATATGAGCAAATTAATGAGCGTACAAAAAATTAACATGTACTAATGCTATGACTGTCTGAACGATAAAATAACAAGTTTGTATGAGCGATTCAAAATATCGTGAAAATAATAATAAATTGTTTGTGAGTATGATAGCGAAATAAATCGTGAAAATAAGTAAAGTAGAATATGACAGAAATTGGTCTGTGATGCTGACAGAATAGTGAAATATGCGAAATATATGTTCTGTTGAGCCGCAGTAGAATAAATAGCATCGACTAGTGATGAGTGAATTCGAATTCAAATGCGTAGTTCCCGTTCGTAGGATGATAATAGGCAAGTCGTGAAATAATAAGTGCATCGACGGGTGATATTCGCTGCTGTACTGCAATTGATAATAATCATAAAATCTAAAGTCAGTGAACGTTGTCGTCTGCGTTATGACAGATGCATTGAGTTATCGTTAAATATGTATTAGTAGAATGACCAGAGGAACAGAATAGTGACTGAGTAGACAAGGTACGTAGAGTCGTATTCCTTTTTGGTCATGAAGCCTAGAGTGGTTTGAGGGAGATGCACTCGATCTCGTTTGTTACAAAACCGTACCAAGGCATGACAAAAATACCAATACATATGGTTAGCGATTGCGACGTATGAGACTGACTTGGATGTGACGAACAAGAGTGTATCTTTGAGAGACTAGCTCTAAACTCTATGTTCTGATATACCGTGCGATGGGAATAAAATAGTAGGTGCACTACTCGAATAATGTTTTTTCGGTAATTAATGATGTGGCATGTGAATATACATTTGCTCGAAGAAATAAGATGAACGTAATGGTTTCTAATCAGCTAGTTAGAGGCATCCACAGACATAATGGTAGGCGATTTCGAAATGAAAAAGGTATGTTGTGGTAACATAAATTGCTGACCTCGACTAAGTGAATGAATGCAATATTAGTTCAAAATGACATGAAAAATTGGAACGAACTCACTTAAAGCAGGAAAATTTCACGTTTTCGAATAGTAAAAATATCCCAATGAGTTCTCACAAAGTTAAGTGGAATTTTCATAAAATGATAATTTGTTCGGTGAGTAATATGATTGCGAAAATGTCATGATTTAATGACAGCACGAACAAGATTAATAATTCCACATTCGATCATGATATTAGCAATAATGTAATAATAAGCATACAATGATAATTTGAATCGTAATGGAACAATCCGACAAATGTATCAATGAGGATAATTGACATGAGGACAAAGTATCGATAAGATAATACGACTTGAGCATGTCCATGTCATATTGTACAGGCTTCGTTGACTGCGTCGGATTGGATATTGCGCTGGCTTCGCTGAATTTGTTCGTCGAACGTATAGAGTGCAGAAGTTCCTTCATCGACGTAGCTTGCTGTGTTGCGTTCGTCGTCGGCGGGCTCACCAATGAAGTGGCCCGTGGATCTGACTCCTATTTTAGATTGTGCGAATGTTTGCTATCGCTGATTCTCGTATATCATCGTCGACTTAAATCACGTTAGTCCATAACGGAATTAAATAAGTCAATTAACGAGAATGGCCATTGGATACATATATTTTGTATGTAAAGTGAATGCGATAGAACAAAGAGAAACGACGCACAGGGAGGATGGCTGTGAAGCCAACTCCAATTCAAGCCGAACATTACTCAATATTTATAGGCAGACAAAATGAACTACAGACATGTGATGAGTCATCGGACATGAAGTGTACACACATGTACGCTCATGTGAAAACAGTCAAGGCTAATAAGCGAATAATTAACAAGGTCAAAACATGACTCAAGTAGAATGAGTAGAATGGAATGTCCGGAAACTAGAATAAGATATACTATGGGCTAAAACGAATGACTAACACTACAAGAGAAAGCCTACACCCCAGTAGACTTCCGCCCTTAAAGAGACGAACGAGGAAGATCTTGCTAACTTAGAAAGGGAATAGATTTTTAATGCCGACTTCATGGGCCGGTAAAACTAGGTATATGCAAGCACGGAATACTTCTCAACTCTAGTTCTATTTAAGGGAATATTCAGGTAATCCCTACGTTAGTATTAGGGAAACCAAACACTTTGCACCCAAGAAAGTCACCAGGATTTGAGAACATACTCCCTATCACACTGAAACAGTGCGCGGAGGCTATCAGGACGCGATTGTGTGACACATTCAGGCGCTCATTGGAGTCACACCAACTCCCAAGAGAATGGAAGCAGGCCACTCTCTCTCCAATATTCGAATGAGGGGGTAAATAAGACCTAGCCTGTTATAGACTGATCGCATTACCCTCACCACTGTCAAAGGTGATAGAGCACTGGCCAGTGAACAAATGAGTAACTACATGGATATAATCATATTTAGGAAGGGAAGGTCCTGTGCATTTTCCTCCGTCTTCCTGCGCAATAACAGTTGACTAACTTACTTGTTCTTCTTGGAATAATCACTTCGTAGCGGTAAATAAATCCACAAAATAAACAGTTTAGTAAATCTTCGAGATTAGGGTGCCAACCTGATTAGTTTTAGTGGACACACATCCTCACCAGATCACGGGTGGCTATGCTGTGCTACACATTTCTTACAACCGTGAACCAGCCTTGAATAATTGCTTCTCCAGATATCGATAGCCTCCGGATAATGCTCACTGAAAAACGCTGTAAAGCTTACTAGGACGAAAATAAGCGGGCGCAAGGAAAACGATCGGTTTATACAAGTTCTTGACAGGCATATTGGATACTGAAGGTAGAGCGTCCATAAAGCAATTATTTTGCGATTTACTCACCTCTACATTTAAAACAATACCTGGAACCCGTTACACGCATCTTCATTTGGCTCATTCAAGAGAAGATTGGACACACACAGAAGCATACTAGCAAACGAATAACAAAGGCCGTTGGCCTTTTGTCCTTACTACACAAACCTGAATCTGAACAAGGCGTTTGGATATTCCGAATCACCACACTGGAACTAGCTGAAGATATAGACGTTTTTAGTGGATGCTAGTAGTCTATTCACAAAATCAACCAGTTTATTTCATTTCCCTATAAAGACACTGGGTGCTGAAATTACACAGGTTGGTTTGAAGTGTGCGTTACAAAGCTGGTTTGTTGTTGGACACTTTACACGTGCATGGCTGATGTATGCCATCCCTGGGTATTATTTCTGTTTACGGTGACAGCTTTCGTAACCATACTCTGAAGGCGGATGTCGATGGCTTTTTGCTTGAAGATTTAAATATGACAGCACAAAATCATGATGAGAACGCTCCTCTTTTAGGAGATGTTAGTGATAACTTTTCTCCTGATTCATATTCACCACTTGTAAACGAAATACATAACGATTCAGACTTTAAAAATGTTTTACAAAGTGCTCTTCAAGCTATTGAGTCTGGAATATTGCCCGAGAGAATTTATCAAGGGTCAAGTGGAAGTTACTTTGTTAAGAATGCTAATGGAGTATGTTTACTGTTAAAAATCTTGTTTTTCTCTCTAACTTCGTGTCTAAATTTCCATTATTTAAGGCAACGTTTTCATAAGAAACATGGCCTCTCTGTTGTATTCGCAAAATTAATAGACCCTACATTGAGTACGAATATTACATATTATACAATAGTTTTCTAATAATAGAAGTGTGGTATAATCTGTCTTAAATGATGCAGGCAATTATAGTCTTGCATTTGGGGGGATTTTATTTTTACCAATCTCCCTGTGGTTCTAAGTATCTTATTAGGCTTAGTAGTTCGCATTTGCGGTTATTTAGTATACTTCTCTTTATTGCTTTGTGATAGCAGTTTTTGTTTCTCATCTATCGCGGTTTTGCACATAAAAAGTGGATGCGCAGTTTCAGGATTTCAACTCGGATTTGTCAAGTTTATCTGTTTATGAAATATGTGATGGTTTTAATGAGATCGATTGTCTCTTGAGAAGTAGAGATGGTAAGTAGTCAATGCTCTAGTCGAGAGACTAATAAATGTGATACATTAGGTCTTGCTATTGTCCTCTATTCTATCCTTGTTATTATCTCCTTAACTTTGGTGATGGTTGGATATGCCACTGGGGTTGCTCAAGGGCAGTAAATGGAGTGTTATTTCAAGTTTGTCGATGTGTTCCACAAAGTGATCCATTAACTTTATTTGGTATGTGGTCAATGACCCATGTTCTCTGCTAATAGTTGCCAAACGTAAGGGTTAATGAAACGGGAAAATATGTTATGTTCAGCAGTTATTAAATTTTTCCAGGAGTATTAATCTGAAACAGGTTCTAAAGTGTTTTGCGTTGATAACTAGGGAATTTCGCATATTTTTATTTGATGACTTTCCAATTAGGAATATTTGAACAATTACCACCTTCATTAATTACAAGATAAAGTAAAGTAAATATGCCCATTTACTCAGATATTAGTTCTTACTCTTCGGATAACAGATATAACCAAGGTATCAAAAATTGTAACCCACTATTATTTTATGTACATTCTCTCAACATTTTAGTTTACATTTTACGTTCGTTACCGACAAATTACTTGAAAACGCACATTTTTTTAGGAGAAAATTGCAGTATTCAAACCGAAGGATGAAGAGCCCTATGGGAAGCTTAACCCGAAATGGACAAAATGGATGCATAAACACTGCTGCCCTTGCTGTTTTGGTCGATCATGTTTGGTTCCAAATCAAGGTTACCTTTCAGAGGCTGGTGCCAGTCTTGTAGATCAGAGACTACGGCTCAATATTGTTCCTAGAACAAGAGTTGGTTCTTGTTTGTAAATTATTCATAATTGTATTTTTCCTGGTTGTAGTTAATAAGATGAAATGTTAGATAGTTTCTATGAATTACATAAAACTGTATTTCCAGTCAGTCGGTCACAACATACAACCTGGTACGTATGTACATCGGTCCAAGTTTCCATATCATATAATCACAAAGAGATGGAATTGTCAGGCCGATTCTCAGAATGATAGAGGTAGTGATAGTATCAATGGTAATAGGAAAGATTACGGATACAATTGGCGAAAACATACATTACTGAAATAAAAACACAAACAGTCACGAAGAATTTAGAATCTCAGAATTTGAGGAGAGATAAAGAACGGATACACAAGCTCAATCGCAAAAGATTTTGAGCCATGTCATTGAAAGTCTCTAACCATTGGTTATAATAATCACACAGACCCAAACCAGGCAGTCTACACCTATTAACATGGCTAGGTTCAATTGTCAACGATTTCATGGACTGATGCCATGTTTTGGTAGTCGAGAATATTGATGTCTAAGAATTTAATTCAACATTAGCCGTTTATCCCTGTTATGGAAAATTTTTCGCCAAGATGTTAGACCGTAGTAACTTTCTTAAGCTAAGAAGATATTATTTGACCTTATACCTTGATATTTTTCATTTTTTATAGTATTAGATTAATGACTTTTCAAGTGGATTCCATTATGTGTAAAATTGTTGATAACACCTAGTTCGTAGCTCCATTTTTCTATTCTAGGTTGTTCGTTTAGTAAGCGAAAGTTTCAACTACAGCACAGTTGATCGCGCAAAATCTAGGACTAAACAACACTTTGCTTCACGGTTCCCTGAGTTAGGTCGTCATTTCAACCGTCTTGGGCTTCCTCCAAAAGTAAGTTTCTCTTCATACGTCAAAATGAATATGTGAATGAAAAAATTATTAATTCCAAAATCTCATCTTTTGATAGATGTGATATTAATTATTATCGCTTGAAATAGGATTTAGTGTCGCGCTTTAAGTCTGGTGGATTGCTATTTTTATTCCATAATCCTTCACGTCTTGTCGTATCAGGAGGTAGTACAATGAAGAGGAACATTTTTCTTAAAAAATTGTGATTTCCAATAACTTAAGAGTTCACACCTATGAACAAATTCAATCAACAAGAAGTATCTGGCGATAACTAATGAGGAGATAGAATAAACCTGGTTAATTTTAATATCTTGGTTTTATTTCAAATAACTCATCACATTTTTCTAGCTGAGTTTTTGAATCCTTCAAATTCGTATTCTCTCTTTTCATTTTGAAAATAAGACTACTTCACTCACCATTTTGTTATACTGTAGTGGATCATTATGATCTTTTTCATTCAACTTTTTTTACATTTAAAGACAGGAACTATGACATCAATTTTAGGGTAGCCATCAGCTGTTTAGTTGCAGAACACTGTAGTTTTTCAATTACGTTACTCATTACGTTTTAAACTTTTGTTCCATATGCTCACATTGTCTTATGAACTATATCTTCTTGAATATGGACATATTTATCAAAATTTAAGTACTTACTAGAATTTAATTGGGATTTTTAGTAGTGGTTGTGTGTCAGTCGTATATTTTATCTATTTATACCTTGTTTATATTGTGGGGAACCATTTGTCCCCAAGCTGTCATGTTCGTGATAATTCTTATGTAAGGGCTTAATGGACATTTAACTGAAGCTAAACAACATGTGCCTGTAGCATACATGTCTGTCCGTAAGACATTCAATTGAAAATTGAGTTGGCTACTTGTAAGTGTGGTAAATGTTCACTGCCAGAAATAAATCAACTTGTTTTCCAGAACATTTTACTGACTATCAGTATGTGCTATTATCTTCATCGTAGATTTCAGATTTTTAATTGTAAATTGTCTTCGATAAAATTAACCAAACGCTTACTTTAACCCTTAGGAATATAAAATGTTCATCGTTTATTAGTCAAGTTCCCTGCCACAACAATGTTATTTTTAGGACCTCTCTTATTATAACCCATCTGTTCTTATTGCCTAGTATTCTTCGGACACTACTTTACTCGACTAGTTCCCAATTCAGAACGCGATTGAATAGGAACGTAGTTATATTCCAAATAAACAGGGTTAAATGGGAGTATGATTTACGGTAAGAAACACGTCAGTATATTCATAGTTTTACAAGAAAAGATCCTAGAGTCTACTCCAATTTTCCTCTGGCACTGATTGGGTAAGAAGTGACTAATCAGCGCGTTGTATTTATTATATATTTGAACACACGTTGGTACAAGGGAGCACCGAATACATATGCACCACACAATAACATTGAGATCGTGAAGAGACAGAGAATGTAAAGTGCGTATAATAAAAAGAATAACAAGAACAGAAATTAGTGTATGAGAGTGAAATAATAACAAAAGGAGAAACAGTTCAGTTAGGAAAAATACAACCAGAAAGAATTCTTTCAGTTACAGAAGTTACTTTTACTTTTATGAAGAAAGTGAAAGTTACAGCAATATTGCCACTGGCTTCTATTCTGAGCCATGCTTGATAACATGTGTTGCCACTGGATGTCAGCAATCCTTCGGAGACAACGATGATCAAACACAGAGGGTCGTCTAACATCCTCAGCTCGAAGAGTCCAGGTTTCACAAACGTAGAGCAAAACTGCTCTCACCACAGCGTTGTGGATCCAACCTTTTTTAGTCAGACTAATATCACGAAGCCGAGAACAGGATTTGATTCTGCCAGTCTTGTAGAAGTACTTTGCACTCCGAAGGTGCGAAACACATACCATATCTACGGACACTGATTGCCAACTGATTAAGTGCGGATTGCATGACTTGGGTATTATCGCACAATAAGACAATATCATACACACACTCAAGGTCGAAAAGTCTTTCTCCAGCCAACGAATCCACACCGCCATTACTTACATCCATCAGAGCTGTTTCCAGAATCTCATCGATGGCAAAGTTGAAGAGGAATTGTGAGATTGGGCAACCCTGTCTAACCCCACTGCTTGGATGGAACAATGGAGGGAGGTGGTTGTATGCCTTCACTCTACCTGAGGTGTTTGTATATAGTGCCTTTAGGATGTTAATAAACTTCTCAGGCACACCCTTCTTCAACAGACAATCCCAAAGAGCAGTCCTGTCCAACAAATCGAAGGCAACCCTGATGTAAAGGAACATTACGATTGTTGGCCTTTGATAAGTATGACGGTGTTCTAACATTTGGCGGAGGGTGAAGATATGATCGATACATCCTCGACCGGAACGAAAACCAGCCTGCTCCTCGCGAGTCAATCTTTCTCGGGTTTTGAATAGTCAACGAAGTATGATGGAAGCAAATAGTTTGGACGCAATCGGAAGTAGACTCATCCCCCGATAGTTGTTACAGGAACGACGTGAACCCTTTTTAAAGATAGGGACAACTATCGACTCATTCCGGGATGTTGGAACGGTTTCTAATTGCCAAATCTTTGTAAACAACTTCGTCAGTCCCTTAACTAGAAGGTCCCTACTAACTTAAGAGTTCACACCTATGAACAAATTCAATCAACAAGAAGTATCTGGCGATAACTAATGAGGAGATAGAATAAACCTGGTTAATTTTAATATCTTGGTTTTATTTCAAATAACTCATCACATTTTTCTAGCTGAGTTTTTGAATCCTTCAAATTCGTATTCTCTCTTTTCATTTTGAAAATAAGACTACTTCACTCACCATTTTGTTATACTGTAGTGGATCATTATGATCTTTTTCATTCAACTTTTTTTACATTTAAAGACAGGAACTATGACATCAATTTTAGGGTAGCCATCAGCTGTTTAGTTGCAGAACACTGTAGTTTTTCAATTACGTTACTCATTACGTTTTAAACTTTTGTTCCATATGCTCACATTGTCTTATGAACTATATCTTCTTGAATATGGACATATTTATCAAAATTTAAGTACTTACTAGAATTTAATTGGGATTTTTAGTAGTGGTTGTGTGTCAGTCGTATATTTTATCTATTTATACCTTGTTTATATTGTGGGGAACCATTTGTCCCCAAGCTGTCATGTTCGTGATAATTCTTATGTAAGGGCTTAATGGACATTTAACTGAAGCTAAACAACATGTGCCTGTAGCATACATGTCTGTCCGTAAGACATTCAATTGAAAATTGAGTTGGCTACTTGTAAGTGTGGTAAATGTTCACTGCCAGAAATAAATCAACTTGTTTTCCAGAACATTTTACTGACTATCAGTATGTGCTATTATCTTCATCGTAGATTTCAGATTTTTAATTGTAAATTGTCTTCGATAAAATTAACCAAACGCTTACTTTAACCCTTAGGAATATAAAATGTTCATCGTTTATTAGTCAAGTTCCCTGCCACAACAATGTTATTTTTAGGACCTCTCTTATTATAACCCATCTGTTCTTATTGCCTAGTATTCTTCGGACACTACTTTACTCGACTAGTTCCCAATTCAGAACGCGATTGAATAGGAACGTAGTTATATTCCAAATAAACAGGGTTAAATGGGAGTATGATTTACGGTAAGAAACACGTCAGTATATTCATAGTTTTACAAGAAAAGATCCTAGAGTCTACTCCAATTTTCCTCTGGCACTGATTGGGTAAGAAGTGACTAATCAGCGCGTTGTATTTATTATATATTTGAACACACGTTGGTACAAGGGAGCACCGAATACATATGCACCACACAATAACATTGAGATCGTGAAGAGACAGAGAATGTAAAGTGCGTATAATAAAAAGAATAACAAGAACAGAAATTAGTGTATGAGAGTGAAATAATAACAAAAGGAGAAACAGTTCAGTTAGGAAAAATACAACCAGAAAGAATTCTTTCAGTTACAGAAGTTACTTTTACTTTTATGAAGAAAGTGAAAGTTACAGCAATATTGCCACTGGCTTCTATTCTGAGCCATGCTTGATAACATGTGTTGCCACTGGATGTCAGCAATCCTTCGGAGACAACGATGATCAAACACAGAGGGTCGTCTAACATCCTCAGCTCGAAGAGTCCAGGTTTCACAAACGTAGAGCAAAACTGCTCTCACCACAGCGTTGTGGATCCAACCTTTTTTAGTCAGACTAATATCACGAAGCCGAGAACAGGATTTGATTCTGCCAGTCTTGTAGAAGTACTTTGCACTCCGAAGGTGCGAAACACATACCATATCTACGGACACTGATTGCCAACTGATTAAGTGCGGATTGCATGACTTGGGTATTATCGCACAATAAGACAATATCATACACACACTCAAGGTCGAAAAGTCTTTCTCCAGCCAACGAATCCACACCGCCATTACTTACATCCATCAGAGCTGTTTCCAGAATCTCATCGATGGCAAAGTTGAAGAGGAATTGTGAGATTGGGCAACCCTGTCTAACCCCACTGCTTGGATGGAACAATGGAGGGAGGTGGTTGTATGCCTTCACTCTACCTGAGGTGTTTGTATATAGTGCCTTTAGGATGTTAATAAACTTCTCAGGCACACCCTTCTTCAACAGACAATCCCAAAGAGCAGTCCTGTCCAACAAATCGAAGGCAACCCTGATGTAAAGGAACATTACGATTGTTGGCCTTTGATAAGTATGACGGTGTTCTAACATTTGGCGGAGGGTGAAGATATGATCGATACATCCTCGACCGGAACGAAAACCAGCCTGCTCCTCGCGAGTCAATCTTTCTCGGGTTTTGAATAGTCAACGAAGTATGATGGAAGCAAATAGTTTGGACGCAATCGGAAGTAGACTCATCCCCCGATAGTTGTTACAGGAACGACGTGAACCCTTTTTAAAGATAGGGACAACTATCGACTCATTCCGGGATGTTGGAACGGTTTCTAATTGCCAAATCTTTGTAAACAACTTCGTCAGTCCCTTAACCAGAAGGTCCCTACTATCTTTAAAAAGGGTCGTAGGTAAGTCACCTGGGCCTTGTGGTTTGTAGCTTGCTCCAGCACAATCCTGCACGGAACGTGCTATAATCCAATCTACATCCAGCTAACGATTATATACGCCTTAACTATTTGCATACATATGGCCGGCGCTTTAACCGGATCCTAAACCAATGGTGCACATGAGCTCCAGTATCCTGCGCGAAAAATGGCGTATGAACCGATCGTTGGTCACTGGCTACCATGGGACTGCACCTCCTCACGATGCTCCACTGCCTTGTGGGTCAGACCTTTAGGTCAAAGGTTCGGGGTGTGGCCCCCTAAGAAAACCACCCGCTTCGGTCTGGGCGCCCGGGCAGTATCACAGCTCACACAAATAAAATGAAAATGACTATATTTCCTGAAAACTATATTCTCGCTTCGATTTACAGTCAAATAATTCACATTATTAGTATTGTTTACTACGTCATTTATTCACTCTCTTTTATTCCCACTTTCTCTATCCTTATTTTTCGAATAATACAGCAGCTCGCCTATGGTGGAAACTCGGTTCTATCTAAACGTTCTCGCGTCATTTCCTAGTTGAAAATTGTGTGGTACCACCAAATACGAATACTGAAGCAGTTTTTCTAACACCACGTGCACCATTCAAGCTGGCTGCCTTCAACGTTCGCACACTTATGCAGGTCGGACAACAGATAGGGCTGGCTGTGTCTTTGGAAAGTCGTAATATCGACATTTGTTGTCTATCCGAGACATGTATTTAAGACTCTGGTGAAGTACTACAAATTCTCTCTCCATCTGTCACTTCAAAAAGCTTGTTTTACGTGCGTTTATCTGAGGACACCGTGGCATCTTCGTCTGATCTTGCTGGTTTTGATGTCGCACTAAGCGCTAGAGCTGAGGCAGCACTAATCGATCGGATCTCCATTAGCAATCGATTATGTGCTGTTATATTAGAGGGTTCCATCAAAGTGAGAAGAAATCGGCGTGAGAAACGATATCTTTTCATCATCCCCGCCTATGTCCCAACAGATTGCAACCTGAATGCAATCAAGGATAAATTCTACCACCAATTAACTTTTCTTCTCCAGAAAGTGCGTTCGACAGATATTGTAGTACTAGCCGGAGACTTGAATGCTCAGGTTGGGCGTCTAGGCACATAAGAGAATCGTTTAGGTGGCCGAAGGCGACTTGTTGGTCGCAGGTCAGATAACGGGGACCGTCTACTACAACTTTGCACAGACCACAACCTGTTTCTGGCCAGCACTAACTTTCGGCCCAGTCATCGCCGATGTGACACCTGGCGTCCTCCCTCTGCATCTCAAGCCTGGACTCAGCTTGATCACATCGCGATCAGCTACTGCTGGCGTGGTTGTGTACAAGACTGCCGCTCCTTTTGGAGTACCTATCTGGACTCTGACCATGCCTTGGTCTGCGCCAATCTTACCTTACTTTTCAGTGGCCAACGAAGTGACCGCCATCAACGGATTGGTATTAGCAAGCTGGTTGCAACTTCTGTTGCTAGTGAGTATCGAACCAAGCTAGCTTCTAGGCTTTCTTCTGGTTCCTTACAACTCATTGAAGCCCGTCGGTCTTCTCCGGGTGACCGTGAGTTTGACCACAAACGACGACTGTTACGTAATGAAATTGGGCAAAGCTTGCGTGAGGATCGAGAAGCCTGGTGGTCGGAGTGTGCTAATAAGTTGGAAGCAGCAGCTACATCTGGTAACTACCGGAAGCTCTTCCAACTCATCCGAGCCACTGGCTGCAAGAAGTCTGGTGTGAGCGAAACAATCTGTGAGGATGATGGAATGCCAATCACTAACATCCCTCGACGTCTTGGACGATGTACAGAATTTTTCGAAGGGCAGTTCAACTGGCCTGCTGCTCCGGCAACACTGGTCAGACTGTCCTGCCCTCCATGGCCGGTGACGACTGATCTACCAAATGAGGCGAAAGTTCACAAGGAACTCCAACTCTTGAAGCGCTACAAATCGCCGGGCCCAGATGACTTACCTCCGGCTCTTTTTAAAGTTGGTGGTGACTTTCTGGCTAAGGGACTGACGAAGTTGTTTACAAAGATTTGGCAATTAGAAACCGTTCCAACATCCCGGAATGAGTCGATAGTTGTCCCTATCTTTAAAAAGGGTTCACGTCGTTCCTGTAACAACTATCGGGGGATGAGTCTACTTCCGATTGCGTCCAAACTATTTGCTTCCATCATACTTCGTTGACTATTCAAAACCCGAGAAAGATTGACTCGCGAGGAGCAGGCTGGTTTTCGTTCCGGTCGAGGATGTATCGATCATATCTTCACCCTCCGCCAAATGTTAGAACACCGTCATACTTATCAAAGGCCAACAATCGTAATGTTCCTTTACATCAGGGTTGCCTTCGATTTGTTGGACAGGACTGCTCTTTGGGATTGTCTGTTGAAGAAGGGTGTGCCTGAGAAGTTTATTAACATCCTAAAGGCACTATATACAAACACCTCAGGTAGAGTGAAGGCATACAACCACCTCCCTCCATTGTTCCATCCAAGCAGTGGGGTTAGACAGGGTTGCCCAATCTCACAATTCCTCTTCAACTTTGCCATCGATGAGATTCTGGAAACAGCTCTGATGGATGTAAGTAATGGCGGTGTGGATTCGTTGGCTGGAGAAAGACTTTTCGACCTTGAGTGTGTGTATGATATTGTCTTATTGTGCGATAATACCCAAGTCATGCAATCCGCACTTAATCAGTTGGCAATCAGTGTCCGTAGATATGGTATGTGTTTCGCACCTTCGGAGTGCAAAGTACTTCTACAAGACTGGCAGAATTCAAATCCTGTTCTCACCCTGGATGGTGAGCAGATAGAAGTAGTCGAGAAGTTCGTGTATCTGGGTAGCTGTATAAGTGCTATTGGTAGCATGAGTGATGAGATCAATGCACGACTCTGTGTTTGATCATCGCTGTCTCCGAAGGATGGCTGATATACAGGGGCAACACCATATTAATAATGCAGAGGTTGGGCATCGTGTGTTCGGGCGGAGAGACGATAATCCAATTGGTATCACCATTTTGAAACACCGACTTCGGTGTATTGGGCATGTTCTACGAATGGCGTCCCAGAGAATTCCACGTCGTGCATTATTTGCCGACGTTGGGACTGGTTGGAAAAGGCGTAGAGGTGGTCTGTGTATGACATGGTGTCGTGGTATGAAAGAAAGCTGCAAAGGACTGGCTTGTGTTGGTCCTTCATGACTCCCTGGCTGGGGTTCGAGGATGTTGCGACACAGTGGCTAAAGACGTTATCAGATATGGCTCAGAATAGAAGCCATTGACGATCTTACTGTAACCTTCTTTTACTTTCTTCAAAAAAATGGTTGTTTCTTCCTTATCTGTAAGATTTCTTCTGATTTTACCTTTCCGTTTCCCACATTATTACTATTATTATTATTATTACACTACCTTATACTAATCTGGTCGTTTTTGTTCTCTTCCCTTTTTACTCTCCTTACCTTCTTTTTTTTCTCTTCGATTTCTCATTGTTTTGTATGGTGCATATATATTTGGCTCCCTTTTGTACCAATATTTATGTGTTTGAATAAATAAATAACATATTCCACAACTAATATTGGCCGGTGACTAAGTTTGTGAGTGTATTGACTGGAAATGTAAAGTGAGTGTTTGGTTTGGACTTAACTTGTGAGATAATAGTGATGATACGTAATCACTTTTAAAGGTTTATTGAAGTTGATATTTTAACAAGCACTTGCGGAACCATTTGTTTAAAAGCTATCAGCTCGATTAATTTATTCTAATTTTTATTGTCAATAATAGTGCATTGTGGATAGTTTTTGATATACTGTGAGCTAGTAATATTAATTTATCTTATATATTTATTTGGGCATGTCTAACCATTTCCTTTTGTTTGACTGATTATATCATAATTTAAATGAATTGGTCCCTGTTTTTTAATGGGTTGTAATCAGTGCTTTTATGACGTGGCTTTATTACAAACAATAATACATTTTATCTGCATTTACATATTTTAATTACCATCAAAAGTAATGCCGTCTTGAGAATTTGCCTTTGTTCCACTGGATAAGCTATGTGTTTGCTTTTAATCATGTATACTGATTATTTAGATGCCGATTTGTTTGTAAATTTGAAGAACTCCGTCTGGTAAACTGAATATGACTAAGTCATTGCTTTTCTTGTGTATGCACGGATTTTATGGGCTAGAGAACCGTGAATTCAAATTGATTTATACCCTTGTATGTGTGGTTGAATATCTTACTTAATAGAACAGATATTTAGCAAGTAGTTTCCACCTTTCACGTTTTTCTTTTTGATTTCTCATTCATTTTTATTTGTCTATGACGTAAAGTTTATTGTTTTTGTTGATAATGTACCTATCTAGTAGCTGTTTTTTATGCACCTACATCTACTTTTGATTAAATGTTTCCATATGCATGTTTAACACCTTGAAAGTATTTTATTCATATTTACATAGTTTAGGAAATCAAATAGCCATTTGTCAGAGGATTTTTGGTTAGGAATCAGTCGTCGAAAAGCAGTAATTATTGGCTAGTAAATCTTTGTTAGTAGATATAGAGGTGGAATTACATTGCTTCTAACTATTATAGTAGGATTATTCAAATTTTATTGCTTTCTTTTTGCTATCAGACATTTGCTTTTTTTCACTAGATTGGATCTTTCCAGCTTTTTGTTTCTGGTTGTCGAGATGCTGACTATTGGCTTCGTCATTTCGATAATGAATCACTTCCTAAGCCTACAGCTTCAGAATTCCGATTTCAGTTTGAAAAACTTGTTATACTTGATTATCTAATTCGGAATACAGGTATACAATAATCACGTCAGGTTGTATTTCGACAAGATGTTTTTATCAATTAAATTTATTTCTCTTAATTCATATTGTTCAATATTTAATCGTTGATAGTACTATTATTTCAGATCCTATGTTATTCGTCATGTTAATTTTTATCTTTTTCTGGCGATATAATACGGCGACTTGGGCTAACGCATACCGAATTCTGTGACTGACCAATTGACTCGATTTCAACCTATGTTTATCTATGATATCCAAGGTTGCAATAATGCCGAAAAAGCATGTACAAAAGTGATATTCCTTAATACTTTTATATTCGGTTGTCGTCTCCATTGACCAATCCACAGCTTTTTCCCAGTAACTTGAAGCATATTAATTGGTTACTAAGAAACTAATTCTTCCTATACGTTAGGATTTTATTATATTCAGTCGAAATTTAATGGATGAATTCAAGGTTTCACCTAGAGTTTTCGTCGGGTAAAATCTGAAAGGTTTTCAAAAGAATGCTCTTGGTATGAGGTTGCTTGAAAAGCTGAATCCCATTCAGATTGTTACGTATTGCTTACATACCATTTCCAGATAAGATTTCATTGACCAATATGACAAATCAATTCAACTTGTTTTCTGATCACTTGAAGATCAAGTAGCTAGCTATTATGGATTTAAAGTTGCTGGATTAGCATTAAGTAACTAGGTGGCAAGTGCACTTTGATTAGATCCTAGATAATATACATTTATTCACTGTTCCACCCATGCGTCTACCAATTAGAATTTAAGTTATTTCAAGGATAATTGTTGCTAAAAGAGTACATTCTTACTTCAGAAACTCAGGCCATGCAAATGTAATCTTATTAATAAACGAATCCGATACATTACTGTAACAGATTGACTGATTAATTCAGAAAAGCATCCGAAGAACATCAGAATTCGATTATGACAAATCAATAGTAGTTTTCACATTTTTCAATGACTTGTTCCAAGTCGTTACTAAATTCAGAGATAGAAAAGGCCGTTATTTGATTTAACAACTACTGTTTAGGGTCAAAAACAGTACATCGATATGCTTGATAATGATGTATTTCTTTTGGAGTACATGTAAATTGGTGAAATGTTTTGATAACAACCGATTTTCCTGGTGGAAGTTCATTATTCTTCTTAGTCATCTTGTTTAGTTCATATGCAATAGAGTTCAAAAACTTGTTCAAGTGATTTTCGAAACACTTACTATTAATTCGACTTGTAGTTCTAGTTGGTTCGGAAAGTTAATGATGGAAAATACATGGTGATTTTCTTTTTCAGCATTAGACTTTACAAGCTAAATAACATACTAGGAACTCTGGTGTACCAGGTATTAGTACAACTAAAAACAAGTTTCAAGACTCCCAACCAATCATTTTTAATTACTCAACAATACATGCATTATCATGCTGAGGTCTGAGTTACTATTTGGTAAATTGTGTACAAATTGTGGTACTCATATTAAGGATGCAGTTGTGTATTGCATAACTGTAGGAGTGTGTTATGTGTTTATAGATGGTGTGCGTAAGGAATGTTTATTTCGTATTATTGGCTGGGTTAAAAATAAATAAAATCTTTCCTAGTTATTCTCTTTTAGATCGTGGGAATGATAATTGGCTTATTCGTTATCAAAGTTCAGAACTAAAGGAAGATACAGATGAGGTGAATTCATTGTAGCATGAGGTTCATTTCTTGTTTATGAATTATACTTAACCAGATTTATTGATACTGTATGATATTTTGTTTTGTTTATTTGTGAAAACAAGGCATTCCCCCCCAAAGTGGTTGCCATGTTTTTAAAGAAATGAGATGTCCTCTTAAGTCTCACTTTCGCCTCACGTTATACGCTGTTTTTTCTTGGAATCCTCACTTATGCTAGTGGTTAGCTGTTCTTACTGCGTCTTGCTCTTTATCATCTAGTTTCAAGGAGAGTTCTCTGGTTGCATTTATTCCACTTCACATATATCGATTTAAGCAGATAAATGATATTTTTTAGTTATCGTATACCAACTGGCTCAAAACCAGCTACATGAGTCTATACTTCGTTATTGATAACTGTATGACTGCGAATACTAGACTTACTCAGCCTTATTTTAAGGTTAATAAATTTTCTCTGATTATAAATTACATGTCTCTCTTTTGATTTAGACCAATAAAGATGATTGGGGTGTTGTTGATATGCCAAAAATAGAATTATTTGCAATCGATAACGGTTTGTCTTTTCCGTTCAAACACCCAGATGAATGGAGAGCATGTAAGTTCAACCTAGATGTTTTCACAATTGATGGTTAGTGTTTTAATTAGTATATGATGTAGATATATTTGGTGTTCGATTGGAATTTGACTTTTCAGTTGAATTCAAGGGATTGTACTCCTATTCATTTCACCATTAGTGTGTATAAATTAGGTTCATACCCTAAGTAAAACAAAATGAATAAACCCCTTAGAAAATGGAGTTTTCAAATAATCTTTGTTTTTTTATATGATGAGCAGCTAATTCTTGCTAACGTTTTTCAATACTGAATTAGGATTTGATCTAACACAACTATCCCCTATACTACGAAATTGTATATCATAAACTAACCACTTTAATCCTTTGGATCCGTACAGACGGGGCCACACGCTAGTTAGTAGGATAGCCATTGAAGCGATTGACCTAAAATTAGTTTAAGCTACGTAAGCCAAAGCTTGTAGGATTACTTAGTGCTGCTACCCCACTAAAGCTGGTAATTTCAGGGGGGCAGTGGTGACTGGGCACAATGAGCTTGGTATTAATAAGTTCCTTAGATGTAGTAGAAAACTGCCTCGACCAAATGATTGAATATCCAAAGTTCTAAGGCTAGATTAATATCTCAACTGTGTTAAAGGTGATTCAGCTTGACAAATACAGCTCTAGCTTTCATTTACCGAGAATCAATCATATCTAACAGAGATACGCAGATATGCAAAGTTGTAAGTATTTCTAAATTTCAATCACCAAATGAGAGAGGAGCTATAGGTTCATATCATTCTTATAAAAGTGTACTTCTTTCCGATGATACGAGGTAGATGTCACATTTTCTGAAAATAATTACGCATTGAGTAAGTACGACTAAAATAACCTTTACAGTATAATATAGGAGAAAGATGTAGTTCTTATACTGGAAATCTTTTTTCATGTTTATTTCACCATCTATTTTCATTAAGCTTGTCTCCAGAATTCCCATATATGACGAAAATATTTATGAGTGCCAAAATTCTGGAATGTGTCGCGAATCCATTCCTTGTTCAAAACTAGTCGAGAAGTTACTGGGATTTTTGGTTCAATATGAAATATTTGAGTATGGAACGTTCAAACAAACTTCTATCTAACAAACAGTTAAACACTTCAGTTCTATCTAGCGAATTGAAGGGTTCTCTAATGTCTGTATATATATATATATATATATATATATATTTAAAGAGCGATGAAAAAATTCAGTTCGCTTCCTAAGGAATCAGTTTCTTCTACATTTTCCAATATCACATTTAAAAAGTGCCAAAAATGATTTGTCTTCACAGTGTTGAACAGTGCCTTATTATTACTTATTACAGTTTCTTTTAAAATTTGTCTCTGCAGCTACATTTTGGGATTTTCCTAAACTCTTTTGACCCTGACGTATGTAGTTCAGGAAAGATGTTTGATTGGAAGTTGGATTATCCCAAATTTTTATAGGTAACATAATTTGTTAATCGGATTGTACTGAATCTGTCCGATCAATAAACTAATTGATTAGAGTTTACAGACATTTCTATGTAAAAGTTCCTACTGGTTTAAAAAAAATTTATCAGAGATTATTAAACATATAGTACCACTAGTTTCAAGACCAAATACATACTGATGGTTGTTTATTAGATATTCTTCGTTAATTATTTTTCTCGTACTTACTATTTGGATTCATCCTATGAATCCTATATCAGATCTGAAACATCTCCATTTTCTGAGAAATGATTCTATAAATCGTTGTCCTCACTTTTTTCTATTTTATCCCTGTGAATATAATGTAAAAGATCGTCCTACTTTTTTTCTTCAAAAATGCAGATCCTTTCTATTGGGCTTGGCTTCCTATGGCTAAAGAGCCATTTTCAGATGCGATTAAAGAAGCTGTTCTTCCATTATTATCTGACATGCACTTCATCAATAGTCTAGTTCGTGATCTTCATAATTTGTTCAAAGTAGGTTATTTTATTCTCTATGATATTTATTGATTGATAATCCTCTTCATAGATTTATTGACATAAATTCCTTTTGCAATTAATGAACCAGTTAATCAGTTTACATTGACGATATGTTATGGCTGAAAGTAGGTACACATAAGTCATCTGACATTAATAAGTTGGTTTTTTTCTATTCTATTTTAAGAATATTTGTCAGTACAGAATTTAGAATATATTTTCATTAAAAGAGATTTTGTGTCTTTTTTTGATCAAAACTTTTTCAGTACTACATATTAAAGGTTTTGCTCTGTTTATTGTTTTCCGAATAAATGGGCATCTCTGCCTATTAGTATGTTAGATATGAGTTGATAATAATCGGGTGCTTTTTTCAAAGTACTAATGAGACCGTTTTTGTTAAGATCCTTTTTTTTCTTTTCTAGCCTATAAAACTGATTGTTTTTTGGATTAAATTGAATATACATACATTCAAATGGTCTGATGCTATTACAGTAGGAGAAAGGGACATTTTTCATTTGTTTAAGGCCTCTTTTTTCTTCGAAAAAAACATCTCATAGTTTTACAGTCAATAGTTTTGTAAGGTGTCCTTAGGAAAAACAATCTTAGTTACTGATTATTCACAATTATAGTGTTGCATAAAATTCTGTGCTTTTCAATTCATGATGTGAAGTGATGATTTTAATTAAGAAAACTTTACAAAACGCTTGTTTACTTTTTTTCTGACAACTAGTCAAGTATTAGGGAAAGATTTATGACCTTGTTAACTTAATAATACGCTATTTGTACTGCATTGATGCTTAGGGAATGTAAAAATCTTGTTGGAATATTATTAAATTTGTTCAGATTTAGTACAAAGTAGTCAAAAGCAGTTGAGTTTATCCCTGATACGCTTATTGTCTTTATTCTTTTCTGTATTAATTTGATTTGCGGTTTGAGTTATGTTCTTATGTTCTTATTTTTTCTCGAAATCCCCGTCGCCCATTGTAATGTTCTCATGGCTTGTTAAGACAAACCGTAAGCCCATCTAACTGGTCACAGTCACTGATTGTCACAATATATAAGAAGGGTTCAAAATCATTTTGTGATAACCATAAAGGATTATTTGACCAATATAGCATCTAAAATACTAGCCTCAATAATTATGGGATGCCTAGCAAAGAATTGTAAACTGCAAACACGAGAAAATCAGGCTGCTTTCAGACCTGATCGTGACTGCATCGACCACATATTCATCATTCGTCAGGTTCTAGAACATAGGTATGCTTATCGGCGTCCGACAATAGTGATCTTTCTTGACTTAAAAGCAGCATTTGACTCTGTATACCGAGACGTTCTGTGGCAGTGTCTGTCATTGAAAGGTGTACCTCAGAAGTACATAAACCTTGTGAAGGCTCTTTAATCGAATACTGCTAGTCGAGTCAGAGCTAATGGCGAACTGTCATCTGCTTTTGCAATCTCGAGTAGTGTCCGTCAAGACTGTCCACTATCTCCACGTTTGTTTAACTTCATCATAAACATACTGATGGAAATAACACTCTCGTCTACTGAAATTTGCGGCATCGATCTCCTACCAGGAGGTCCACTTATCGACTTAGAATACGCAGATGATATAGTCCTGTTTGGTGAAGACGCTGTTAAAATACAGAGTGCTTTAGTAGCATTGATCAACAATGCCAGGATTTTCTGGATGCGCTTCTCTCCCTCTAAATGCAAGTTGTTGCTTCAGGATTGGTCTGCGTCAACACCTGAACTAAGGATAGGGAGTGAAGTAGTCGAACGCGCTGACAACTTCACTTATCTTGGAAGTCTGATCAGCCCTAATGAATTGGTTTCTGACGAAATCTCAGCACGTATTCAGAAAGCTCTTTTAACTTTTGCCTACTTACGTCATCTATGGCGAAGGCGAGATATTCGTCTATCAATAAAAGGACGAGTATACTGCGCGGTAGTTCGTTCTGTTCTACTTTACGGCTGTGAAACGTGGCCATTAGGAGTAGAAGATATTCGTAGGCTACTAGTATTTGATTACAGATGTCTTAGTAACATTACTCGCATCTGCTGGGATCACCGGGTAAGTAACAGTTAGGTTAGATGCAGGGTGTTAAAGAATGATGGTAAATCAGTTGATGAGGTTGTGAATCTTCATCGACCGAGATGGTTGAATCACGTGTTGCGTATGCCTGAACACCGATTACCACGACGCGCAATGTTGACTAAGGTTGAGGATGTTTGGAAGAAAGTTAGGGGCGGCCAAACCAAAACGTGGCATCAGTGCTTGAAGTCACTAACTTCTAGTCTGAGCCGTGTCGATAGATGCAGACTACTTGGTTGGGGTCCGCGTGACTATCGTAACCAATGGTTGGAGACTCTTGGTGAATCGATCACAATGAAGTCGGTGTATACACTCCCTGTCTTCCCTTAAACCAAGAGATTAAAATTGCTTCATATCTTTCTTTCTATGAACTAATTCTTTCTTCTTGTACTATATCCTTATGTGCAATCTTTCTTCTATGTATTACCACCATTGAATTAATTATTTCTATGAATTCGGTGTTCATCTTGTTGTGCTAATGTGGTATGGTAACTTGAACCGATGCACATATGTGCCTGGTCCTACATTGTAGCTGACTGATGGCTTGTTATTCGTCACGTGATACGATTGCCAATTAGAACACCGAATTACTGACCAGACCAATGACACATAAACCAGTACAAACAATCCAGAGTCAACTCTGGTCCACTAAGATAGCAGCCTAACCTATCCGGTTTGGTTCAGAACACCAATATCAGCTTCCCCTGTACGAATCATATATTTCAGTCATGCTTGGTTTATGTCTAAACAAACCAAACCACATCATACGATAAAATAGAAAGTAACAATTATACAAGATCAGGCCGAAAAGTGGCTGTGATTGTGAGATACTGTAGCTAATAAATTCGGAATAACTTAAAGATTGTAAGTCGTATAGTAGTGGTCAACAGATCAAATGGAAGCTTATAATAAGAGGAATATGCATATACATACGATATAGTTACTTAATAGTTATACAATAAGAATATGTATAATGTTGGTCCACAAATAGATCCCAGCGGTTACTACTCACATGTTCTTCGTCCGAATATAACATATACATGTATCATACATTATTATTGTCATCATTATGTTATATTTATTAAGTATCATTCTTAAATCGTTGATTATCTGGATGTGAGAATGAGTAATAATTATGTGAATGCAAATTCCCAAACTTTCATATTGATAATATTGATCTATCAACTCATTTACCACGTACAGATTCGTATAGTTGACTTCAAGTCATAATACGAGTGTGAAAACTAATGATATCCGGCTGCGCGAATTGATATATGTGGGGCAGGGTTCGAACTTTGGAATTAGGCGCTAAAAGTCGTACACCTTAGTCACTGAGCTACTCTTGTGATCTTGATAATAATGCTTCATTGGATGTCATCGTGACATAATTGCAAAATAGTCACTCAATGGCTTATTGATTTTACGTTTAACTTTGATTACCCTTCGACGATTCTCAACGCACTTATCTAATAAATGCCAGTGAGGATAAAATTTCAATCCACCGTAATTTTCAGTGAATAAACTTAGCGACCTTATTGGAATTAGATTAACTCTAGGTGGCAGGTGACTAGTCAACATGTTATTGATTACTGACAACTGCACTTTATTAAATGCATATCATGTTATGTACATTGCGATTTCCTGATAAGATTAATGGTTTAAATAGTTCATAGAACGCTAATGACTATTATTATTATTACTATTATTATTATTATTATTATTATTATTATTATTATTATTATTATTATTATTATTATGACATGTAGGTGTCATTTCCGTTGTATATGAAGTTAATAGATATCATTACGTTAAAATATATACCTAATTTTATCATTTGAACTTAACAGTATAAGTAAAATACAGTTGATCAATCAAGTTTATTTCAAACGAGTTTTAAAAATCATAAAATAATTGAATAAGAAATTGTAGGTTATTCACTCGATATTGAATCTGGGATAAGTGTATTTTGATCCAAGTTGTTACACCTAAAGCCAATAGAATGTCGGAAAATTAACAGGATAAAAAGCAAAAGAGTGTAACTAGTCATCATAAATAGAGGATATGTAAAACTGGAATATTTATTACTGGTAATAAAGAAATAAACAGACTGAACAACCAGTCTTAATGAGTTTTTTTTGTAGTTTCTAATCATTGGTTGTAGTTTCCTTTTCAAACTCGACCAATGAATATGCAGCTTTTTATATGACTAGAAAAATCAGTCATTGCCTCAATGGAGTTAACTCCTTTCATACTGTGCTGTCTCAACTTTTCCAATATTTTCCTTCGTTAATGAGCATAATTCACTAAGCTAGCCGATGGTCAAACATGCACATCATATTGTAATCCTGTTTAGTTTATGCAAGTTCACGATTTCATCAATATATTTTCACTTTTGTTACTGTACTGTATGCCTAATATCAATCTAACTCTCTTGATAGTCTCATTGTATTCACGAAATACTTCAATGATAGCTATAATTGAATTCCTCCAACTGATGCATGCATTCCACCCAGATGAAACTGTGTTGTAGGTACTTAAAACAGTAAACGCTAAATTATTGTTCAGTATTCTTGCGCTCCAATAGGTAGTTAGATATTTAGTTGTATACCTGGTGGTACAAGCTGTTGTTACAAATGTAGATGTAATGAAGCTTTGATTATATTTTTAGCATGGAACAAAACGGCGTTGTCACTGTTAAATAATTTCGTTTGATAGTTATTAGAACAACATATATAAGCGAACAATATTGTTTTCGATTAGATCCTCATCAGGCTTTACTCTAATATACAGTAATATTTATATGCATATACGAAATTATTAAACCAATCAAGGTAGTTTATAAGTCAATGATAACAATGGAAAAGATTACATAATAAGTAAAATGTGAAAAGTACAAATTGATGGTGTGACAACAGGTGCATTAGTTTTTGATAAACAAGTCGTTCAAAGTTATTTATCGGATTCCCACTAGTTTTCCTTATGGTGTTCGATCTCGTCTCTTACACATAGCAGAAGCTATAAGAATCCGAGCCAACAAACCAAGTCTTTGTGTCCAGAAGAAATTTGTAACTCCCTTATCTCTCCCTTGGCCTTAAGTAATAAATGAATGTATTTATTTATTTATTTTTTCTCTTCGTTTATTATTTTTCTTCACACCCTCCTACCACTTTATTTTCTCTCAACTATACGTTTCATGGTCCAATTATCTGAACATTTCTTATTACGTCATCTTATAATTTTATAATGGTTATCTCAGTCAAAAACAGACCGAAACGCAAGCTTCTTTTCCCGAATCTCCAGAGAAATTTGTTTTTAATTACTCAAGTATAACATTATCGACTATTCAGCTACAAGCATTATCCCTTGGTCCTAAATTTTGTAGCACGTCCACTAACATTAATGAACTCAACGCGAAAATCCAGTTTGAAGGCCTCATGCGACAGACAAATGACCTTACTCCAGTGTCTAATGAAGATTTTGAGCATTTTAAAACAACTCTTGTGGATTGTTGTAATCAATATGTAAATAAAATACCTACAATTAGCCGATTACTCACAAAAGAACATAAATCTCAATTATCTGATCTGCGGAAAAATCAGGACTTAGTATTATGCCGCCCAGACAAGGGTGCAGGAATTGTTCTTATGGATCGTATTGACTATGTTACAAAAATATCTTCAATATTATCTGATCCTGTCAAATTCTCTATTGAGAACGTTCAAAAAGACACTACTGAAAAAACTGAACAAATGCTAAGTAAAATTTTGAAGAAAATGAAAGATGAAGATATTATCAATCATGACCTCTATGAACACCTCAAACCATCTGGTTCTGTTGTACCAAGACTATATGGACTACCAAAAGTTCATAAGAATAATAACCCACTACGTCCTATACTGGATATGAACAATTCTCCCTATCACTCAATCGCTAAATGGTTAGTTAACATTCTACAACCTGTTAAAAATCATATCAACAAACACAATTCTCTTGATTCCTTCGACTTTGTTGACTCCATTAGAAATATCAATGTATCCGGTAAAAAAATGTTCTCATTAGACGTCACTTCTCTTTTCACAAATGTTCCCCTCACAGAAACCATTTGTTTTTTATGTGACTATATTGAAAATAATAATCTTGATATGCGTATCCCGATACATTACCTTAAAGAACTACTTCTAAGATGTACGCTCAATGTGCAATTTAGATTTAATGATATTTTCTATAAACAAATAGATGGAGTTGCAATGGGCTCTCCATTGGGTCCTCTCCTGGCTGATTGTTTTATGGCGAACCTAGAAAATTCGGTACTTCGACCAATAATTGAAAGATTTCATTTATATAAAAGATATATGGATGACACTTTCATTATTTGCGAAGAAGACGTTGACCTCAATGATATTTTGAATATTTTCAATAGCTGTCACCCATCAATCCAATTCACCTTAGAAGCAGAGACAAACCACGAATTTCATTTTCTTGATATCCATTTAAAAAGAATGCCTGACGGTTTATTACAGAGATCGATATACAGAAAACCCACTTGGAATGGACAATACACGAACTTCCACAGTTGGGTTCCATTAATTAGAAAAAGGAACTTAATTCATTCTTTATCCTCAAGGATCAGGCGAATTTGTTCCAACGACACAATAGATGGGGAACTATTTTATCTTCGACAGACCCTCATCAAAAACGGTTATCCACCGAGATTCATCGATAGAAACTTGGTACCTAGACCCCATGTTAAAACATTGACAGTAGAGAGAAAAACTCTATTTATGAATATGGAATTTAAGGGAGATACAGCTGCTGAAATCCCAAATAAACGGATTTCGAAATCAATTAATAAAACATTCCACGCAGCTAAGCTTCGAATCATCTTCTCAAGCCGACCTACCATTCTGGGGTGTGTTAAGGACAAAATTTCGCTTTGGGCCACTTCAATGTGTATCTATAAATTTACTTGCTCATGTGGGGCATGTTACATAGGCCGCACAAAGCGATCATTATCCAAACGCATCTCGGAACATTATCCGGCTTGGCTTTTGAAAGGGGAGCGAAAAACAATCACGAGTTCCATACAGGAGCACTTAATCAACTGTGGACATATCGCTCCAAAAGACTCTTCGTTTAAAATAGTTTACAGAGTCAAAGGAACTGGATCGAAGGGGGTTCGAATCAATATTTTATGCACCGCAGAGGCATTGGCAATCCACAAACTAAAGCCTGAACTTTGCGTGCAGAAACGATTTGTCCAACCTCTTATCCTTCCCTGGCCCTAATTCCCTTTATGGGTATGTTTCTAGGTGTTTTTTTTTTCAATGCACTTTTATTATTACTATTTTGCACTTTAAACTCTAATCATTTATTATTATTACCTTTTACAAGTTTTCTTGATTATCATTCACTCTATTATTATGACCTTTGTTGTTTTGACGTTTTTCTTCATATCTGTCAATTGGACTATTATCTGACCCTTAAATTTTGTTCTCCTTACGTTAACCTCATTTGTTATTTATTGTCGAATCCATTTTTTGTGTGATACAATCCATTCTATCCTTCTATAGACATACATTTTCCATATCTAACTATATATACGAATGTACAGCTTAAGTAAATGATTTCGTCGAAAAGGAAATTTTCTTCGCTGAATTCTCTTTTTCTTATTCAATGACACTATGGGTTATTTTAATTTTTCTAATCATTGACCTATTTCAGATTATGTAACATTGATTTGAACCTTTATTATTATTGCTTATCAAAAACTAATGCACCTGTTGTCACACCATCAATTTGTACTTTTCACATTTTACTTATTATGTAATCTTTTCCATTGTTATCATTGACTTATAAACTACCTTGATTGGTTTAATAATTTCGTATATGCATATAAATATTACTGTATATTAGAGTAAAGCCTGATGAGGATCTAATCGAAAACAATATTGTTCGCTTATATATGTTGTTCTAAATTTACAATATGGGAATATTTCAAATTATGATAATTATTATTCTCGGATCTTTGTAAGTTCATTAAAAAATTTTCGACAGGGTATTAAAAAATATATATATTTTAATTTAGTTTACTTGGGACTCCTCAGCAGTGCGCATCTACGATCATTCTAGGATAAAACGGCCGTCCAGTGCTTCCAAGTTTTCAATAGTGGTTTTACTTAGATTGGTACATGATTTCAATGTAATTCAACAATATTTATAACCCCATACTGAAAATTATGTAATTGCAGTGAACGAGAACCAGGTGGGGAAAACCATAAATTAAATACCTCATTTGGAAATCTTCCATCAGTTGTTAGTTAAAAACTTCACAGTTCCTTCGTTCATGCTGTTATTAAAATTACTCTGTTTAAATTCCTGTTCTCTTCAATTTGGTCTTTTCAACTTTCTGTTCCTAAGCATCCCACTTCTGATTGGTGTTACATACTACTTATGTCTGTCAACATAAGTAGCATACACCACATGCTCCCTGGTGATTAGATTCAAGAGGAAATTTTCAGAGTTCTAGTGAAAATTCGTGACCAGTGGCTACTAATTCGTGTCAGATGTGAGGCCGTTACCCACCGAAGACGGTGAAAGATGGTCGTGCGATGTTGTGGATTGAAGTTAGACATTAACACCGTTAAGTGCCGACTTATTGGTCTAGAGGTCAAGCGTTCGCGCGCTGTACTGAATGTCTTGGGTTTGATTCTCACGTTCGGGATCGTAGATGCCCACTGGTGAGGAGTCACATATCGGGATGAAATGTCATCCCAGTGCTTTCAGGTTTTCAATGAGTACCTAACCTTGGTCGGTTCATGATTTCAGTATTTTATGTTATTTAGTTTACTCTAGTAATTTAAATATTTGTCAACTATTAATGTAATCTAAAGTTCTGTTTCCGTAATATACTTTCGGTTGTTATTACATATACATCTTCAATTCAATATGCATTTTAGGTGGATCCAGGTTTCGACTTATCTACTTTTCATAAACAAATGTCCGTTTTACGTGGTCAGGTCAGTTAACTGTTGATTGATTATTTATTAAAATTTGTATTTGGTGGTTCAGTTTAAGTTGGATTTGAAAAAGTCACCATAAATTGTGTTGACTGAAGATTTCTATAACATTGTTTCTCTTATGTTATAATATGAATAGGAAAATGCTAAATTATGAGTGCAATTCTTCGTTTTCTTCCTCTTCTCTTTGTTTTGTCATGCAATATAATTATTAAGATTATGGAATTCGTTCAGCTAAAAACTACTGACTTTTTATTTCATTCAAAAAAAACTTCATTTTCTATTGACAAATTAGTTTTTCTGTTGTTGCATATTTTGTCAAACCATTCAGAATCTTAAATATTTATAATTCATGTATGGTAATTGGGTAGTCTCGTTTGTATTTTGTATTTTAATAGCATGATATTGACAGAGTCAATTGTCATTATATTAACTTATTCCATTATTTTAATTGACAGAAATTTTGTGATGAAAAAAATGACACAATCATTCAATTTTATTTAAGACTTTAGGTGTTCTAGTAGTAGTATTTACGTGTCTATGTTGTTATCTCAGTCATTAGCCTTTGAAAACACATTTTTTGAAGTGAACAGGGTCTGTCTGTTTAAACAATGTCAATGTTTATTCCAAGTAAAAGGATGTGCGTTACTGTTGGTAGTTTTCTGGAATTTACAAAAATCTTTGTTCGTGCACGCTTATTTTAAATGTATTTTGAAGTTATAAGGGATTTTTGTCACAATGTGTCGACAATTCACTAAAGATATAATTGCACCAGTTTGTAGACTGTTGAAATGGTTCTAAAATTTCAGAAAAATCATATGGTGACACACTGATAAGCGATTATCAGAAGTAAAATTACTGATTAATTGGATGTTATAACCGCTAAATTTCACGTCTAATTAGGTTATTGGAAGTAGTCGACAGGAAACCCTTCTAGACCCAGGTTTCATACTAGTTGGGATTCATTAGCAAGGCGGGAACTGATGTTCTGTGTGGAATCCGGATCAACACCACACAGCTGCATAGCTTGAGATATCACCACTAAGCTACTCTGACTGCGATTGGTCTCTTATAAGACTGAAATATTCACAATCGATTGATAGAATTCTATCATCAGTAAAGAACTAAACAAATATAATATTGAGTTCACTTGGTATTGTTTTGCTTGTATCTTCCCATTGAGGTTTAAGACTGCAATTGATCAGTCTGTTATTGGCATATGTGCATACTGTGCGTATGCCTCAATATTGCCTTAATTCACAAGCTTTTATAAGCAAGATACAAGCAAAACAATACCAAGTGAATTTAAATTCACCCCATTGCACAAGCAAGTGGCTATCAGGACTCAGTAGCTGAGTGGATAACGCGATGGCGTTTGAAGCGAACGGTACCGGGTACTAGTCTCAGAGTGAACGTCAGCTCTGAGGTGCAGGTACATTGGGCTGAAGAGTCCCAAATAGGACGAAACGCTCATCCTGGATTTCACTGCTAGCCACTATCCATCTTTGCTTATAAATGTAATATTGGTCAATACTCTATCATCAATCAGTTTTAAATATTCAGTCACACTTTGATGACTTCAGTTGTTTATTATTTCTATGTTATTCTACTCTATTCTGATTATCCACTCAGTCTTCACATTTTTTCAGTGTAAAATTCGTCCGAAGTTATAAATATTTAAATGTAGACACTGATTACTGGAAAACCTATATAAAGAGTTATTTTACCGATAAAATATATATAATTCACAGTCACAGGGTAGGCTTTGTCTCAATATTTAGAGACTGGGTCAAGAGTGTTCAGAACACAGTATTGAAGATGTGTTCACCCTTGTAATATATTTTGGGTTATGTCAGTCTCGTTTAGTGTACAAGTTTCGTTTCACGTTATAACAATTTTCTTCGTAAAAAATTGCAACTGGTATTTAAGAAGCAATGTCACTTGAAACATTGGAAATTAACATTTCAACAATAAATAAAGTTAACGGGAGCTTTCATGAAGCCTCTATCTGCTACAGCATTGAGTCAGCCTTCTATACGTTACACTACATTACCAACAGAACAAATCTTTAATAATATGTCGTAATTTTTCTTTAGTCCTATTTTTTAAAGTTGCTTTTGATTCTTGATTCAAGTGTTATGAAAAGTTGTTCCGCGTTGACCTTAGTCAACAAGTTGAGGCATAAGAAATATGACTACTGCTACTTAAACTTGGTACCAGAAAACATGAAAAATTTCGGATTGCCATACCGGCCACGTGATCATAATTATAAAAAATTAGTAAAGTTGTTGTCCCAAATTTTTGGACACTAGTTTTGGTTTTTGTAAATTCACGATGTCAATGTATAAAGCTGACGAAACCCAAAACTTGTAACTGTTAGCGGAAAATGTGGACATTTTCGGTTGTAATTTCATACAAATTTGTGTCTTTTTTGCCTGTCGACTGAAATCGATAAAAGATGTTGATATCCACTTATGTTCTCGAAGTAAAAATAACCACGTCCCTCTGATAACCCAAAGATAGCTATTGCGGAATGTCAACAACCGAATGGCAACTATGCAGCAGTTGGAACAATCCAGTGCAGTGCTCACGTTTGGAATTTCGAAATAATCACCCTCGTCTTGCATAGAAAAATGGAGGTTATAAAATGTTTATAATAAGTCTAACGACAGATATGTGTCCAGTTGGATAGTTCTGAATATAGCGAATTTAATCTCATGCGTTCCATCGCTATCATTAAGCAGTGAATTTATTCTTAGAATTTCATCACCTTTATTCACAGATATTTATTTGATTTCATTACAGGTTGTGAATTTAGTCGCAGCTCTACGGGATTCAAAAAGCCCGTACGATCTTGTACGAATGCCAGTACTAACTTTAGAGTTGTCCACTAAGAAGCGTTCTACAAAACATAATTGGCCACATCGACGGTTAGCAGCTGGTTTCGCTCAAAATGAAAATGTACCTGAAATTTCTACATATCGCAATAATTATAATAATCTTACAATTGATGTCAACCCTACAAATAGTGTACAGACTAATCAAGATTCAGTATTCACTGAAAATCAAACAAATAACTTAGTCGATTGTGATAATATAATAAATCTTGATAGCTGTCAACCAGATGTAAATTCAAGACATACACATGAGATTGATATTGTTTCTGCTGCTACTGGTAGTGGAGGTGTTAATGACGATGATGATGATGATGCATTGGAGCATGGACTAGTTGCTTTACCAACTTTTAAAAGTAAACAAATTATGTTGAATAATAATAATGACAGTAAACAGACTGAAGTGGATCTAGCCGACAGTGCTGGTGATGATGCTGATGAAAATGATGAACAGCGCTTCAATTTACGTTATTACAAAAAACCTTTTTTCACTTGGTTTTAAAAATCTATTCTTTCCCTCGTTTATCCATTCACTAATTTTGATGTTGTGTAAACAAAAGAATACATATATTTGTCTTTCTTTTTCTGATTATTGACACATTAAAATTGTGTTGACAATCAGAAAAGAGAAAAAATGATTTCCAACATGAAGTTGTGACATTTTTATGGTAACTAATGATAATATATCTTTTATTAATTTGTATAATCCAAATTCTAACTTTCTAAATCCCTTTAATATATTATTAATTTGTACTGGTTCGCTCCTCTGTTTATCCATACCCCTTTTAAATACCCTTTTCAACTTAATTTTTTCTTCCGGAACTTTGTACAGTTTTGATTATATATATATATATATATATATATATATATATATATATTTGACAACGATCAGATGTAAGTCATTGTTGAGTTGAATAACTTGAATACATTAAAAATCTATGTGGTGTACATGGTAGTCGGATAAACTTCAGCGTCTTACTTGTTTCCAATTTATGCAGTTTCGCTAACTCCCTTCAATGGAGTGTATTTTTTTGTAAGGCTTTTTTCTTTGGCTGCAGAATTTTACAATTTAAGTATGGAATTTCCATAAATTAGATTTATTTAGCTTAATAATTAACTAGTTTAGGCTTAAAGAATTGTTTATTTAGTTGACGATAAAAGTTTGCGTGGGTTTAATTCTCTTGAGAATCTTTCACTATCATGAGGTAGTATTTGTATGCTTGTTTCCATCCTGTCTTATGCAGTTTCTAGTCAAAGATCACTTAATTGACGTGAATCTTAAAATCTCTAGATAAGAATATTAGGTTAATTCGTCTAGTCAGTGGATATTTGACTAAGATTTATTGGAACGTGTTCCTTTTTCCGGGTGATAGTTGGTGTTGTTGAAATTACATAAAGTAATAGAACTCAAAAAGTGATCAGTCCATGTTACGATGTTACAGTACTGAAAGAAACTCATGTCGATATCATAAAAGGAACTAGAGGAAAGTTCTTTTGAATGGCTAGTAAATTGTACTCAACGGTAAGATGTTCATTACCTATAGGAAGATAAAGAATGACTATCTTTATCACAGTAACAGATTTTGAGTCATAATAATTAGATTTCTTGACTTCTTTTGTTACTTAGCAAAAATTTTCGGAACTCACACCCAAGAACTTATGACGTCATTGATTAGTACTATACCTTTGGTCACTTCACTCTTAGCTCTCTTCAACCTTTGTATGAATAACCCGTTGAGGCACGCTAGTGATTAAAAATATTTGATATTGGCTTGATTACGTTAGTTAAAGGGAATCCATCTAATCTAAATACCTTTTATAAGAATCTACCACTAACAGCATTATCTTGCATATACCTATAACTGAGTACTATCGTACTGTCTTTCCGCATAAGTGGTAATTTTCTATGTCTGTAAGATTATACAACAATTATTCCTGTTCAGTTTAAGTGTTCTGGGATAGGTACTTTAATATCTTGCATACAATAAAGTTGACATACATTTGTCAAAGGCAAACAAGTTGCCCAATTATGCCTGCTCGCCTGTTATTTGAACACATGGATATAAGCTATTGGTCATGGTTATGAGTTCGGAATATCAAAATAATTCATAAACTATGGGTTCTATGTCCTTTTTTCACTTTTGTGTCATGCAAACCATAAACTATTATCTGTTGTATTCTATATTACTCATGCTTTTCCTATGCCTGCGGGATGTATTTCACTTAACAATTTGCCTAACATAAATATCTTCATATAACCAAACGTTACTCGAATAAACTTGATTCTGCAAGTATATTCAATTCATTCAAGTTGTTGAGATTTAAAACTGGACTGTATAATTGGAAAAGCGAGATAGATTCTCACGATATTTTTTTTGCGAATTTCATTGTAAATATATGTATATGTTTAGGATCAATTGTGAATAATTTTAGCCTATAGTAATCAGTTACTCCAACTATAATCTGTTTTAATTATATTGTTAATTTCATATCGTAGTGAACGAACACTCAAGTGGGGAAAACCAATTTATTCTTCAACGCAAAATTACAGAGTTCTTCCGCAAAATAAGGAAACCATATATAAGGTACTTCATTTGCGAATCCTCTACGAATTTTCCTTTACATTCTTCATTATTCTTACATTTCTCAATTCCTTGGTGTTTCCCTGTGTTTTCTTCAGTTCAGTCTGTTCAACCTTCTGTTGCCAGGCATTTTACTTCTGATTGGTATTGCATAATACTTACGTCGACAGACATAAGTAGCATGCACCACAGTATCTTTTGTAAGATTGATGAAATATTTTATTCACCAACAACTAGAGATACGTTATTTTTTAATGTCATGATGTTCCCATGGCGAAAAAGTGAGTAACACTTTTCATACTATGAGTTTTAAGCTTACAGTTTAGTTATCTTCCACTGACTGACATTTATTTATGATTCAGTATTATGTACTTTGAGGATTCATTTGCAAAAGTTTACGAATCAACATTTTTTGCTTTCAGTCATGAATCACAGTTGAAGTCGGGGTGTGAAATTTCTGCTTATAAATTACACTACTTAATTATTTTCGAGTAAAACAGCGCATTTTATTTTAAAAGAAAATGGCTACTTGTTGACATAGGGAGGTGTGCCATCAGTAACTCGACAAGATCGCTGAGCCATAAATCAGAAAGAATAAGGTAAAAATTGCTGGGTTAAAGTTAGAGTTAAGGAGATAGTTACATAATGGATCTACTTGTTTTAAAATTCTCACTATTCAGCTTGAGTGGTTTATGCTTGGGGGAGTCTATGGAGTAGGACTAACGTCCCCATCTTATTGAATTCAAGGAACAGTTGGTAAGCAAGGAGAATGTGTATTTGATTGGACTTCAGTTAGTTTTACTGATATTAATTTCCTTTGGTCTTTTACAGTCCTGGCATCCATAAATTTATCATCTCTAGAAGTTTTGGTAATAATGCCTTAAATTGTAGAGATTAACTGCACGTTTGTGAGTATAGCATCTAAGTACTTTTTGAGGAATGTTTATTGAATAGAGCGATACCTTATTTCCCTAAGACTATCTGTCCTATTTACATTTTCAGACAACAGAGTCAGTTGAACTCCACCAGTCACTACTTTATAAACAGAGAATAATAGTGTTACATTAATGATTTTCTTGATAGCTTTTTTCCACAATTCTGTTTAAAAGTGTTCATATCAAGAATGGTTCGTTGAAAAAAAAACCGTTATTTCTTTTTTTCTAAAAATAAAAGAAATTCTTTTTCAATTTATTCAGTAGGTAAGTAAAATCATGAAAATCACAATTAAAATAATAGAAATAAAAAATATTATGTAACATCTCAGATAATAGATAAGTTCTCAGAAAGAACAGAAAAGTAATTGAAGACTGTTTGAATGTTCATTATATTTCCACTTGATTGAATACAATTATATTTTTAATTGTTATTGTAGACAGTTAACTATTGTAATCATACTACTTATTAACATCCTGTAATCTATTCATTTACATAGATTTTTTTTAAAAATTTTGTTTTGGTCAAATTCATTCATAATCGTAGTAGTTTAATAAGATTAGATCTTTAATTAGAAAATAATAATGATATGTAATGGAATATCTAAATAGAATGATTCACTTTAACAAGATTGTATGAATGTTTGGGTGATAAGTAATAAGAAACTAAGGATATTATTTTTAAATTTTCAGGCAATATAATATTAGTGAATTGTGTTAATTTGATTTATGTAATTTGATTTTTGACTCTATCTGACTTAATGAACTACTTTTCAAGGTTTGTATTTAATTGACATTGAATATTAAGTTTTTGATGAAGATTATGAACTGATTGATGTTAGACCACCGTTGGAAACCTGGAAGCACTGGACGGCCGTTATGTCCTATTGTGGTACTCCAATACTTAATTACGTAATGGGTTTAAATTACTTAAATGAGAGAGTTTAGTTGGAAATTATGTTGAAGACATATTAGTATAGTATAGCAAGAGCGTAAATGAATTTAACAGAGCCTTTTTAATTTAATACACCCTTGCTATAATATACTGATATGTCTTCAATATAACTTCCAATCAAACTCTTTCATGTAAGTAATTTAAACCCATTATGTAATTATGATTTTTAAATATCGCAGATTGTAAGCAGCTGAAGAGAATCAACGAAATAAAATGAATTCATACTATTATGTTAGAATGCTTGTTTTTGCTCTTTTAAGAAGAAAATTATCTTTTCAACGAAATCATTTACTTAAACTGTGCATTCGTATCAATATTTATATGGAAAATATATGTCTATAGAAGGATAGAAAAGTTTGCATCATAAAATAGATTCGAGATCATTATGTTTGTCGTTTTTTCTTCATATCTGTCAACTGGAAAATTATCTGACACGTAGATTATTTTCTTCCTTACCTTTTGACTAATATGTAGCCTAATTTGTTATTTAGTCTCGAATCCATTTTATGATGCATTCTTTCCTATCCTCCTATAGACACATATTTTCCATATAACTATATATATATATATATGAATGTACAGCTTAAGTAAAGGATTTCGTCGAAAAGAAAGTTTTCTTTGCTGAATTCTCTTCGAAATTTTGCAATCTAATAAAATATCAAGTGATGAGGAGTAAATATACAAGATTTTTATTTACATACTGTTAAGTAAATGAGTTTGATGTTTACGTAATGAATAATTAGGGAGTATATGAGAATATATTATTAAAACTAAATGTGTGATATTCAGTAATTCATGTCCATCTTGCTTCGTTTGTTTTTTATGTTATAAAGTGAGCTTCTGCTAAGTAAATTTAAGTAGTGTTCGAATGAAAAACTTATAACGTGACATTTCTATTGTTTTACAGATGTATATACAGTATTGGATTATTTATAAAAAGTGCATTATTAATATTTTCATTTCCTTATCAAAGCACTATCAGTAAGATATATATGAATCCTTTTCCAAGCTTAATTAATTATTAAGTGCCGTTCGGTCCCAGAAGTGGAGGTAATATCAAGCTAATTGATATAATAGACTATTAACAGGATAGAATCCTGAAGCTGCATGTTCAGTGCAAGCTCACATTAGTCGGTGCTAGTAGATCAATCAAGAAGATACTAGAAAAATCTCTTGTAAATTCCACGTAAACTATTGTGTTTTTATTACCGTATTTATTTTCTTATCTCTTTTTTACATCGGACACAGTAAAAAGAACGGATCGAGTGAAGACATTTCTCTTCAATTAGTTTATCACTATGGCCCTACACTAATATATGTATGTATAGCTTACACCAATGAAATAATACTCATCGACCATTTGCGTTACGTAACAATTATCCAATGACACCTTGACTATAAATATCA